GATGTTAAGAATTTATACACTGTGATTCCACACACAGAACATACAGGCTATGCATATGATGCTATCTCAATAAACTTTATACATTGGCTTACCCTTTGAATTTTTATTGGAACGTTTGAAGCTGTTACTCACGTACAATTATTTTAGGTTTGAGAAACAAACGTTCTATTTTCAGATACTTGGGACTGCTATGGATTCACTGCTATAGTGGATCACAAGCAAATTTGAGGACACATTTTTATCGTATCACAGATGTGTGGCAGATATTTTCATCATTTGGAGAGGTACGTAATCAGAGCTTACACAGATAATTGGTTATATTATTATTGTATTGGAGTCTTCAGTCACATTAACCTTGACACATGACCTACAAGGTATCAACTTTTTGGACGTTTAAATGTTTCGAACACATGATCACTTGGGGTATACTCTGTATAAGAATAGTTCAGAGAGGAACATACTGCTTCACTTCAACAAATTTCACCCCACATACAAGCCCTGCAGGGACACTATAGTCACCAGAACAACTGCAGCTAAATGTAGTTGTTCTGGTGAGTATAGTAAGTCCCTGCAGACTTCTTAATGTAAACACTTCCTTTTTAGAGAAAAGGCAGTTAATACATTACTGCATAGAACCACCACTAGTGGCAGTCACTCAGACCGCCACTAGAGGTGCTTCCTGGGTCAGTGCTGCACACTAGCGTTCAGCGTCTCCATGAACGCTCCCAATAGAGATATATTGATTCAGTGGCGCTGCATGGCGTTTTGCCATACATGTCCAATAGCCTCCTAATGCTTCCCTATTGAAAAGCGTTGGTTTGGCTGGAATCTTCAGATCTTTCAAATAATCTCAGCCAGGGAGGCAGAGCGAGGTGGGGCCAGCCGTGGCGATATAGGCACAGGAAAAAAGGTGAGTAAAAACACATTTTTAATGTAAAGAGAGGTTGTGATTTTGTCATTATAAAATCAGGAATACATGGTTGTATAGTGTTACTTTAAGTAATCTCTGAGATTTCTTAGAAACAATTTCTTAGAAACAATTCGGACAATACCAATATTATCAAACAGTTAAATGAGATGAAAATGAAAATTGCTGCAAGGTGTTACCCCAGAGATGTGCTTGACCAATCACTTGTCAGAGTTTGAAAAATATTTGTACCCAGTGACATGGTTCCGGAGCAGGAAAAATTCACACAGGTTACACTGTCTTTCACTTTGCACACTGCAAGTTGAACTTTGTCTGGTTTGATAAAAAAAAAAAAAATGGAACCTATTTTCCAATGATTATCCAATGTTTATCCACGGATTTTCGCACATCCCCTCTTAATGCTTATAAAAAGAATATGAATCTTATGAATATCTTGGTTAAAACTAATTTTATGTACTCTAATATGAGCACATAAAAAGGGAAGGGGTGTTATAAATGTGTTGGTTCTGTGACATGTATTCACGTAACCAACAAACTAGCACCAGAATGCTAATCAGCATTCAGGAAACAAAATGTATATTAGACATTACATCACCTGTACTACTGAATTTGTAGAATATTTAATTAAATGGCCTTGTGGACAAGACTAATCTTTCTGTATGTGATAGGATTTGTGGTCACCAGTCTGCTATCATGACAACATTCAGAAATGAAATGACAGACAGACCAGTTGCAAAAAGATTTTTGAAACACTATCATCGACTACCAACATTGAGATGTATTGCCATTGATCATGTCCCACACCTGTATAGAGGTGGTGACAGATGCAGGATCCTTCTCCAAGAACAAACATTTTGGATTAGAACTATGGAAAGGTTGGCCCCAGACAGGTTAAAATAATTAATTTCCTTAGCCTAATTTATATGATATTTTTAGATTTTATTATTTATCCATTTTTTGGGCATCAGTTTTTTTTTTTATAATTGGATAATTTCATTTATAGTAATTAAATTATCATGTGTATTATTTATCATGTGGTATTATTACATATCAAATCATGGTCTTTAAGTAAATGAGTTGCTTCAAAATTTGTTGTTCATGTGAATATGCTTATAGAAACATAGAAACATAGAATGTGACGGCAGATAAGAACCATTTGGCCCATCTAGTCTGCCCAATTTTCTAAATACTTTCATTATTCCCTGGCCTTATCTTATAGTTAGGATAGCCTTATGCCTATCCCACGCATGCTTAAACTCCTTTACTGTGTTAACCTCTACCACTTCAGCTGGAAGGCTATTCCATGTATCCACTACCCTCTCAGTAAAGTAATACTTCATGATATTATTTTTAAACCTTTGTCCCTCTATTTTTAAACCTTTGTCCCTTCTTATATAATTTCTTTATGTGTTTACTTTTTTGTCACAGAGGCAAGTTTATTTACTTTGTTTCTATGTCCATATATGAATGTTAGGCAATATTCACCATAAATAAGTTGTACCACACAATAAACACAGGCACAGTTTATTTAGATTTCAATGGACTAGGGCCGTTGTGTTTATTAAAAGCTTAAGTGGCTTACAACCATAATTTCATACCGATAAACATATTTACATAAACTTTTAACTTTACTTTGACCCCTTAAGGACACAATTTCTGGAATAAAAGGGAATCATGACGGAATATTTCCGTCATGTGTCCTTAAGGGGTTAAAAAATCTCACAACTGCCAAATTGACAGACAGTCTTAGCCGATCTGACCGCCTTTTATTTAAAACCGTTACCACTTGACCCTGAGGTTGACTCTTGCCCCAATACTTAATAACACCACAACAATAAATATAAAGAAACAAATTAATAAAAGGGGGAGGGAGGGAGGGAGGGCGGGGGTCCGTCTGTCCTCGCTGCTTCTGATTTAGAATATGGCAGAGGTTGCACTGGCGCTGCTGCAATTTGTTCTTAATTAGCTACCCGCTCTTCTCTTGCATGAGGCCTGCATACAATCCTCAGCCAGCAACAATTACCCAGCTTCCCATCTCACTCTGCCCAACAATCTAACAAGGGGCCATAAACTTTACCTTTCACACTTTGCCTATGGCATTTATATTCATCATAATTATCTGCTCCTTTAGATGATAGTCTTTACTTTTTGCACTATACTTTTTGAGCATGGTAAATATGCACACATTGTATATATTTTTTTATTTTATTTTGCTTCTGTATACATTCCTTTTAGATAGCTTTCTTCTCTTGTCTACTTTATTCATCGCACACTTTGTATCTCTCGTTTTATTTGTTTCCTTAATCTTACACACCCCACATTGTTCTCTTTATGTGATTTTTACATGCCTTACTTTGATTCTTCCGCTCTTGTTGCTTGGATTATTATCGCAGGGGCTACTTCTTTTTCAATTTGTTAACTCTTGGGCTTTATTCTTTATATCTTTTGGATATTTGTCTTTTTCACTGTTTCAACATGAACAACTCACCTTAACTTTTGAACTTGATCCTCTTTTTTAACTTTTTTTAGAATACATTTTTTTCCCATCTAATTCTAATACAAATTAATTCACGTAACTTAGTTTTAAAATAATGTTCGTGATGTGGGAGGGTGGTTTATTTTTTTTAGTAACTTTCTGGTGGTCTGTTCCTGGTGGTCTTGCTATCTGGTTTAGATCAACAACTAAAAGACAGGTAAACACCAGAGTAAAATGATAGAATAACCTGCTAAAAGTGAGGTGGTGAGACCAAATGCAACTACCATAAGCACTGTATCACTGAAAAAAACACCACCTTAGGTTAAAGTAAATAGAAATAATGGGTTAATTAATGATCTGATTAACTGATACAGTTGTATTAAGGAATACCACTATTTTAATTACTCTCCTACATTTCTACAACGGAGTATATATTTATCCTTTTACTACTCTCACCCTCCATTCCGTTTCCGAGTCCTGAGCTCACTATTGATTTAATTCAATAGGTACCCATTATTGCTATCTGGTTTGCACCTCTGCTGGTGCAGAGCTGCAGACCAAGTGGTAAATGTCTTGCAAGCACTGGAAGTGTCAAAGTATTTCGGTGCCAACGCTCTGATAGGCCAGAAATTGTGAGACACTAACTTCAGTCTGCAGCTCTGCAACAGGCGCTGACCACTTCCCCCCCAAAGCAGAGTCGAGGGGCCATGCACCCAGTGGCATACAGGGCAAGCCGCCAGACCCTCTCCTGGTGTCTGGCCCTCAGTAACAGACTGAGGACCAGACAGGTCAGTGTTCCCCATGCAAGTTAGGTGGCCACCTAAATTAATGAATTAGAGAGCTGCCTCTGTGCCAGACCCTAGGTTTTTTTTAAATATATATATATGTGTGTATTTTAGCTCATTTGAGCAGGGCCCACAACCCCCTCTGTTGGTGTGCGTCCAACTCGCCTGGTTACAAATACTTGTCTTTTGGTCCACCCATTGTACAACGCTGCAGAATTTGTTGGCGCTTTATGAATATTAATAATGTATTCACACTATACATACCACATGCACTATACGTACTACATACAAATAAATAAATAAATAAATAGAGGAATATGATTCCTGAGATAGTACAATCTTTATTATATTAATTTAATGCCTGATCTCTAAGGACAGAGTTTTCCTACACGCACCATCATTCAACGTCTTGCCATAACAGTTCATTTTAGGCAAAAAATTTAAGGACGGCTCCATTTTAACAACAGCATCAGGTATTTCAGTCACTCAAACCCAGCTTTTATTGTCTAGTTTACAGCACCCCCCTGTCTCTTTAAGTAGGTGTATCCTAGTAATTCAACACTGTAATATAGCATTTATTCTCTCATCATGACACAGAAAGATCACATAGCACTCTAACTATCCTTCATTATACAATACAGAATGGGTTTTTGTTAGACATCTATTCACTGTAAACCATATGAATTAGTATAGATCACATTTCTTCAGCAGTTAATTCACATAATTCCTTCATGGAACTCTACAGAATACTTTTACAGTGCAATTAATGGTAAATGAGGATTTGGTGAGCATTCATGTCTTTGTAGGGAATGCTATTTGCGTGCACAGCTCACTATACAAAGAGGGCAGGTGTACAAGGTAGATTGTCAAGGGAGACCTGTAGAGAGGTTCATGGGGAGGAGTCTGGCTCCATAGAACAACTCTGTATGTAAAACCGTTGCAGATGTTTGTGGTTTATGAACGTTCTGTGTAGTGGCTACAAAAAGACAGAAGCATTTCAACCTAGAAGCATTTATCAGTTCAGGTAAGATGACTCTCCTTGCAATCAATATGTATATATATATGCTGTATTGCGCACGTTTTATATGGAATGTACACATGAGAAATGTTCATTTGATGTCAAAATATATATATATATATATATATATATATATATTTTTTTTTTTTAAGAGGTATAGCACAATTTATTATTTGATAAAGTCCTAGATTTGTAAAAAAAATATTAGACTGGCATTCAGTCTGGAAAGGTTCATTCAAAATAAATTCAAATATTTCTTAAAACTGAATAATAGCTACACCAGGGGTGCCCAAAGAGTAGATCCCCAGTTGTTGTAGAACTACAACTCTCATGATGCTTTGCATGCCTTTAGAATGGAAAAGTGTCTTGGAATTTGTCGTTTTAAAACAACTGGGGATCTACTCTTTGGGCACCCATGGTGTAGCTATTATTCAGTTTTAAGAAATATTTGAATTTATTTTTTTCTGCACCATTATTCAGTTTTATACTAAATTTTAATATTAAACAGGTCAATCCTTTACAGTAGTAAAGAATGTCTGCTATGAAGCAATATTTAATTAAGTAATTTAAGCTGCAAAAAAAAATGTGCGTCTATCAAGTTTAAGCTTGTGTATGTGTGTGCGTGCGTGTGTGTGTGTGCGTGTGTGTGCATGTGTGTGTGTGTGAGACATTGGTAGATTTCGGCAGCATTGCTTCTCTAACCTATGAATTCCATATTTCTGTTATATTAATTTTAAAGTGTTGTTGCAGATGACATTTTTGTTTTCTGTGTTCCATTCACAGTCCTGTGCCCTTCATCAATTATATATTTAATTTCCTTTTATAAAGGCAGGACAAAGCACAGAGGTGAACTACAAAAATATATTTTTTTTATGGGAATCAATAGCCCTTTTATGCAGGCTAATACCCCACTGGCTCGTCCAGCTGCACAATAATGTTCTAAATCGTTGCCAAGCTAATTATCTGCATTTATTACCAAATCCTTCTTGATGACAGATTACCCTACAATAACTCCACTGAGAGAATATTTGTCCAGTTCATTTCTGTTTGCCAAGTGTATCATTTGCTGTGATTGTTCTGTGTGAAACTTCAGTAGCAGGCAAGTTAGGTTGAGCAGCAGTTGGTCGGATAACAGGCTGACCCAAGATGGCTGCTCAGCTATAGAAAAAAAAAAATATGCTTTATTAAATGTAATAAATGTAAACAATTTTTTTTTTTTTTTAAAGTGAAAATTGAATGATATGCTCAGACCCACCAAACAACAAAATTCCTTAGCTTTAATTCCCTGGCGTGTTGGTGTTGCTGCGGCTGCTGCTCCTCCATTGGCTGAGATCATCATTACTGATAATCTCAGCCAATCCAATGTTTTCCCGTAAGGAAGCAATGGAGGACTACTGTGTATGTAGCAATCACTATGTCAGGTTTAGTCAACCTTCGGCACTCCATATGTTGTGTACTACATCCTTCATAATGCTCTTACACCCATAATGCTGGCAAAGCATCATGGGAAGTGTAGTCCAGAACATCTGGAGTGCCGAAGGCTGCCTATGCCTGCACTATGTTGTATCAAATCAGCAACTCCTCATAGAGATGCCTTGGATCTCTATGTGACGCGTTCGGCATCTACATGCTGTGTGAGTTACAGCTACTATCAACTTGACTTTACCTTAATGGCATCTGAAATGCATCTTGGACCCTGAAAAGTCTTACAATGACACCTCAATACTGATACGTGAGGGGCTTACCATGTTGGTAATCCTTAACCTGAACAGGGAGTGGGTGTGCTTTCTAATTCTGGATCGTGATTCGCTGTCACTAGACGTTTTCAGAATGTGTGTGCCGTCTATGGCCCCGAGCAAATTTGTGATTTTGCCCTTAGTATAGAACCATAAAAAGGGGATGTGTTCACTACAATGTGATGGGCCTTGGAGCTTTATTGTACATATATTAAATAAATGCCTTTTTTCCAATATGATTAGAGACACCAGGGAACATAGTAATGCCGGGATAATAGGGAAAAACAAAATGTCTGTCAGAACCCCCTTTCCATGGATCGTACCCCCACACAATATATAGCTGGAAAGCTCATCACCGAACTCCCTCGCTGTCCTGATTGGAGAATCCGCACCCAAGTTACAACATGTTGAAGTTTTACCATTCTATTGGGTGAAGAGTTCCAGGCAAACGGTGGCTTCATTCCTTTATTCATGAAACGGGTTCCTGGACCTTTGAGGAAGGGAGAGCACTCAAGCCCCAGGTATCCTCCAATGCCTTCTTGTCCCCCCCTTCCCCAAAGCTCCCCTTCAAATAGTGCTTTATTTCGAGATCAGGAAAGTGAGCGATACCCATTTAAAGATTTAATGGACTTCCGCACAGTCCTGATCCGAGAAACAGTTCCAGAGCATTTCAGGATATCTTCTGTTGGGGTGCTAGATATGTAAAATGAGTCAAGGCGATCAGGGCCGGTGCAAGGATTTTTGCCGTCCTATGCAAACAGAAATGTGCCGCCCCTGCATGCTCTGCCCACCATGTGACATCACAATGTCCCACCCATATGATCTGCCATATAGCCAACGCTGCACACAGTGTCTTTTCTCTGAAAAGGCCGTGTGTTTACATTAAAAGGTCTGCAGGAACAGGCTATAGACACCAGAACCACTTCATTAAGCTGCAGTGGTTCTGGTGACTATAGTGTCCCTTTAATGTGAGGTAAATTAGAGATTAGTGCCACTAATAATATACTGGATTGTCTACTTACCACCAGATGAGGACAAGAGGATGATGATGGGCTCTGGCTGCAGTCTGGTTCAACTGGTCTGGTGTTAAAACAGGCTCTCTGGAGGTTCTCTAGTGCTCACAAAAATAAACAAACAGGAAGCAGCTCCATTTTTTGGGGACCCTTACACAGATCACAGTCTGGGCCCCCACGGCCTGACTGAAAGTATGCCTACAAAGCCCGCCCATTAGTTTGCTCACAGTGAGTGGAGTGTATGTGTGTAGGGGATGTGTTATGTGTTATTGTAGAGGATGTAATGTGTGCGTGTTCTTATGGAATGTAGTGTATATGGATTCCAATTTGTGTAAGGGATGTATACTGATGTGTGTATAGGGCATGCATTGTGTGAATCTGTGTTTGTAATGTAATGCAGTGTGTGTCTGTAATGGGTGCATTGTGTGTGTAAGAGATGCATTAAGAGAAGCAGTGTGTGTGTGTGTGTGAAAGGGATGCATTGTGTGCTTCTGTGTATGTGTGCAAGGGCTGCATTGTGTGTGTATGTGTGTGTGTGAGGTATGCATTGTATGTGTGTAAGGGATGCATTGTGTGTGTAATGTGTGCTTTGTGTGTTTTTCTGTGTATAAGGGAAGCATGGTGTGTTTCTGTGTGAATGTAGGATGCATTGTATGTTTTGGTGTGTCTGTATGTGAGTATGGATGCATTGTATGTTTCTGTGCATGTGTGTGTAGGCATGTATTGTGTGTTTCTGTGTATGTGTAAGGATGCATTGTATATGTGTGTAGTGTGAAAGAGAAGGTTTGTGGGGTAGGAGAGGGGAGCAGCTCTTTTTTGTATATTTTTTCTTAAAGTTTTGTGTTTTACACCACCCTTTAGTGTATCTCTTACAAGCCCCTTGTGTGTCTCTTATCCAACCCCTTTGCGTGTCTTACTCCCCCAAGCCCCTTTGTGTCTTACTCTTCCCAGCTCCTTGGTGTGTCTCTTTTCCCCCCAGGCCCTTCTAAGTGTCTCCCTCACAAACGACTCTGTGTGTGTCTATCCTGAGCCCCTCTGTGTGTTTGTTTCCCCTACCAGCCCTTTCTATGCTTTTCTTTCACTCCTTCCTCAACCTCTATGTGTGTCTTACATTCCCCCATCCCTTAATGATCTCTTCCATTTCCCTGTCCCTTAGTGGTCTCATCCCCACTTCTCCCCCTGTCCCTTAGAGGTCTCCCCTATTGTCCCTCAGTGTTGTTCCCTCCTCTCCTGTCACTTAGTGTTGTCTTCCCCCCTTCTGCAACACTCCCCTCCTGTTCCTTAGTGTTGTCTCCTTCACTTCTGTCCCTTAGTGCCCTCCCCTCCCCTCCTGCCCCTTAGTGCCCTCCCATCCCCCCCGTCCCTTAGTGATCTTCCATCCCCTCCTGTCCCTTAGTGATCTCCCCTGCACCTTGGTGATCTTCCCTGCCCCCCCCCCCGTCCCTTGGTGATCTTACCTGCCCCTCCCTGTCCCTTAGTGCTTTCCATTGCCATTCTGTCCTTTAGTGATCTTGCAATCCCTCCCCTCCTGTCCATTAGTGCTCTCCCCTGTTCCTTAGTGATCTCCCCTGCTCTTAGTGATCTCGCCTCACTACCTGTCCCTTAGTGCTCTCACCTGCCCCTTAGTGATCTCCCCTGTTCCTAAGTGATCTCCCCTGCCCCTTAGTGATCTCCCTTGCCCCTTAGTGATCTCCCCTGCTCTTAGTGATCTCCCCTGCCTCCCCTGTCCTTTAGTGCTCTCCACTGCCCTCCTGTTCCTTAGTGCTCTCCCCTCACCTCCTATCCCTTAATGCTCTCCCTTGCCCCGTCCCTTAATGCTTCCCCTGACCCTTAGTGTTCTCCCCTGCCTCTCCTCCTGTTCCCATAGTGCTCTTCCTCCCCCTGTCCCCTCTCCCCGTCTTTCCCTTAGTGGTCTCTCCTCCCCTCATCTTTCCCTCAGTGATCTCTCCTCCCCCCACCTTTCCTTAGTGGTCTTTCCTCCCCCAACTTTCCCTTGGTTTTCCTTCACCCCACCATCTTTCCCTTAGTGGTCTCTGCTCCCCCATCTTTCTCTTAGTGGTCTCTGCCCCCCATATTTCTCTTAATTGTCTCTACTCCCCCCCTTCCCATCTGTCCCTTAGTGGTCTCTCTCCCCAGTGTCCCTTAGTGCCATCTCCCCTCCCTTCCCTGTTGTGTGCTTCCCTTCTGCCTAAGTCACCTATAGGATGTGCCAGCCCTGAAGGCGATCCCCAGAAGTTCTCAAGTCTGGCTGGGAAGCACAGTACACGTCAGGAGCCCCCATACCTTTCCCCACAGTGACAATAGCTGATTTTAGGGGCCCTTGGGAATAAACCCATAGTCTGTTGGCAGGAAACTGGTCTTCAAACCTCTCCAAAAGTCTGTGGCACAGGAGCTTCAGACACACATGCAATTTCATTTTTCCAAGTTTAGGTTCTCTAAATATATATATACTCGTATGTTTGTGTGTGTATATTTAATAATATCCACATCCAGACTGGTTTTTGAATGAACATTTGCTAAATCTGATATCCTGGCCTGCAATATTTTTCTGTATTTATGTTGTCAGATTGCAGTTCCTCCACAGTTTCTCATTAGATTGTATTAATATGTTATATCATTTATGTAATAAATATCCTCCTAATATATATATATATATATATACACAACTAATAGGACTACAAATGTATTCTTTCACCATTTGTGTATTTGTACTTTTTTTCTTAAATGTTTACTTAATATTCTTTATCCTAATTTAAACACTCACTGCCCGTGAACTATCAAATAACCTTCATTCTCTCATTTGTTAATACGTAGCTCGCTTAGCTGTAATGAATCGTAACCCTCGTTTGGCCTTTTTGTTTAGACACATATTATTTTCACCATGATCGAGCACTGTCACATGATATTCAATGACCAGGTTATTGAGAAATGAGAGCTGGTCTGTTGTTGTTGTGGTTACAAATGACAATCTAGCTCGAAGCACAATCTGTGGTTCTGCCCATGTTGTGTAACACACTGGAGGTAAGTTCTCATGAAAGAAAAGCCGTGTAAAGTAAATAAATATGTTTAACTGTATGTCTCTATATATTGCACACATTCAAACAGAGACTACTCTTTAAAGGAGAGCTTATGAAAAAATGGGGCGATGGACAAAAAATTCCTAAAATAGGTTTTAACGTGAAGATATTGCTAACTGTTTCTGTAATCATGAATGACACTTAGATCATAACCAAAATAATTTAAACAAACTTGGAAAAAACTCCACCAACCACAGCCACTATACATAATTGGGGTATTTCTTATGATGCAAGGAGGTTACAGGATATTGTAATTCAGTATCGAGTCCACACAAAGACAGATGGTCCCGTCCTTTTTTGACAAAAGGATCATGGGAGAGAAAAAATACCTCTGTTCATACGTTGGCCATATGATGAACATGCTTCCTCTCCACGTCCAGCTATTTCTTAGATTTCTGGAATAACGTTCTTCGGACAGACGAGACCAAAGTGGAAATGCTTGGCCATAATGCACAGTGCCCTGTTTGGTGAAAACCAAACACCGCATGTCAGCACAAACACCTCATACCAAGCATGGTGGTGGAAGGGTATTGATTTGAGCTTGTTTTGTAACCAGAGGATCTGGGAAACTTGCAGTCACTGAGTCGTCGATGAACTGCTCAGTATATCAAAGTATTCTAGAGTGAAATGTGAGGCCATCTGTCTGACAGTTAAAGCTTGGACGAAATTGGGTCATGCAACAGGACAATGATCCCAAGCATACCAGCAAATCTACAACAGAATGGCTGAAAAAGCAAACAATCAAGGTTTTGCAATGGCCCAATCAAAGTCCAGACCTCAACCCAGTTGAAATGCTGCGGCGGGACCTTAATAGAGCTGTGCATGAATAAAGGCCAGTTGTTTGCAATTAAAAATATATTACAAATGTCTGGATCTAGCTCACATTCAAATAATTTTTTGCATACTGGTGACATTTTGCAAATATACACCCAAAAGGCAATCAGGTGCCTTCAAAATAATCTAGATAATGGCCAGTTTCTGTTACAATTATAAGACAAAACGGTACTGATCCTTTATATGCTTATATTTCAGGATCAGTTTTCAGGGGTATAGTAGCAGAGCCTTAGTCCTGACCAGGACTCTCTCTCTGCTATGATCAAGAATTCAGGAACAAGAAATAGCCAAGTGAATCGTCTACCTCCACCCCAGCAACTCGACGACACACAGTTCTGGGAGTATAACTGATTTTATTCTGGCCACACACTACGTTTATGCACTGACCCCTAGCATGGGGTCTCTACATCCAAAATGCAAGGGTTTTCCTCTGAGGATCCTCTGTTCTTGAGAGATAATTAAGTGAGAGATTTATAACTCCATTATCTCTCAGATACGGGAAACATATACAATATTACAAATCATAATAAAAATAAATTTTAATAACATCGAAAACCCACGAAAGTCATATCATCGAACAGCTTGTGTCTGAGCGCCCACTTTGTCAAAATAGCGCTCAGATCCCTTCAGTGGTTAGGGAATGCCATTCAAATTAAGTTTTGACCGGTCGGCTATGAGGTGATAACCCAAAATAGTTCTATAGAAAACAAGGCAACAACCGGTCATCTTTCAGCGGTTCTCACATGAACACTGACGAATGCTCCCACTGACTGTAAAGGAGCGAATACTCCCCCTGTTCGGTAGATCCTATCTCCAGAACGCTGTTCATCTGGGTGGTCGGGAAGTAGCGGGCAGTGGTACCATCTCAGCCCGGGTTCGATGCCTGCGTTTGGGAGACAAAATGCACTGGACCACATGCATTCGGTTATACGAATGGCGGCCACCCAGTGAAAGCACTTGAGTTAATCCCCAATTTGCTGTTAACAGCCAGGGAAGGTCAGTGTTTGAATGGTTATAACATGGGAGACCACACACTGTCCTTTCGGGAGACGAACAAGGGGTACGGACAACCAAACACCAGGGAAGGGAGTTTACTACAGTATTGTATAATGTCTCATACTTTCTATTTATTACCTCCTGATATTTATGAAAATAAATAATTAATACATTAAATGGACACTTTTGTCACCAAAACAACTTTAGCTTAAATGAAGTAGTTTTTGTGTATAGAGCATGCCTCTGGAGTCTCAATTTTATGGCATTTTGGAATTAAATCACTTTTGTTTATGTTTATGCAGCCCTAGTCACACCTCCCTTGACAGCCTGTATGTTATATTTTCCATCGGATGTAAGTTACTTTAAAACTTTTTATCTCTTGCTCGGTAAATGTAACTTTAATTACACACAGGAGGATCCTGCATGGTCCAGCAAGCTATTAACAGAGCAGGAGATAAAAAATTGTAAATAAAACAGAATTTGCCATAAAGGAAGTGTAAACATTTGTTGACACTTTACAGGAAATATTTAGGAAGGCTGTGTAGATTACATGCAGTGAGATGTGACTAGGACTGTATTAACAAAGTTAGTAAACTCCTTAATAACTGAGAATTGAGCAGTGAGACTGCAGGGGCATGGTCTATACATCAAAATTGCTGCATTAAGATAAAGTTGTTTTGGTGACTTTAGTGTCCCTTTAAATATTTGTGTACATTCACATTTGAATATTCATGATTATATACACAAATACAATTTTTGTTCTTAATTATGTGCTGGATTCATCTTAAACGATACATTAATGGGGCAAACTAAACACCATAACCACGACAGCGGTAGTAATTACGTTGCCAGGAATCCACTGCCACCATCCCCACCTTTTTTTTGTACACATACCTTGGTCCAGACCCTATTCACATATATTGCTAAAGCAGAAGATCCTACTTCTGTGATATTAAGATCAATTCTGTCTATTGTTGGCTATAAATTCATAGACCTAGAATGTCAGTATCAAAACTTAAGCTTTACTTATATCGGAGGAGAAGTGCTAGAGCAGGCTTCCTCAAACTCTGGCCCTCCATGTTGCTGAACCTCAACTCCCATGATTATATGAATGACATAGAAAGGCTGAGAATCATGGGAGTTGTAGTTCAGTAACATCTGGAGGGCCGTAGTTTGGGGAAGCCTGTGCTAGAGTATGGAATCCTAGGGGACCCTGGTAAGTGTCAAAATGTTCAAAGTCTTTTTGACTCTTAACAGCAGGTGTGCGCCAGGGATCTCTGCATACCATAACCACTACAGTGTTTTGTAGTGAAAATAGTGCTTAGAGTATCTCTTTAAGTGCTATGCTATTGTGCTCCAGTCCAATTCTATCAGCTTAAAAAGGAAACTAGTAACTTATTAAATTTTTACTCATTTTCTAAACTGTAAGCAGTGGAGAATTAGTTGTTTACTAAGGTCCAGAGCAATGAGATTTGTGGTTTAGAAGGTAAGCTTAATGCCGATCCGAAACCTTTGTTGATTTTAATGAGGATTCCTAGAATAAACAATAGTTTTACATGTAAATATAATAATTTATTAATGACCTCCACAATATAGAGGTCGAGTGACTGGATTACTTATTTACTTATTAGCTTTATAAAAGGATTTTACAGAAGCCTTTCTGAATATTAAAGAGAAGAGTTACATTTGCTTACACAACATTGAGTGGGGATATAGAAAAAACAAATGCATATATAAAGAGAAAGAATATCTGTTCTGCCCACTATTTGTGATTCATTATCATGTTATTACATACACATATAAGCTGTTAATGAAAATTGTTTTTTAATTTTTTTAAATTGTGATTAGATGTGAGAGCATGAGCCAAACAAAGTATATATTTTTTTCTTCAATTCTTGATACGTTTTCAGATTATTTTATACTTTCAATCAATTGTTTTGGTCTACCAAAGAACCTGTGGTTATCACTATCTAACTTAGTACTTTGTATAAAAGTGGTTCAATGGCTGGATCTCAGCTCACAGACAGATGAAGTTTGAAGAATAATACGTTAGTGTGTATGTGCCAGTGTGCTGAGCATTGACTATGCTCTCAATAAATCCTTTAGCATCCTTTTAGATTGTAAGCTCTTTGGGCAGGACCCTCTTCAGCTGGGATAGGACACATTAGACACCTGTCTAGATATTATGAGCATCAATCAAAATAATTTTCTGTTCCTTACAACCATGACAAAAATTAAACTGTTCAATTAAAGAATAACTCCAGTCCCCATGACTTTATTGAGATAGAGTTGTTTTTTACAATTGATTGATTTTTGGTTTTATTTTTTTCAGATTTTTTGCCATGAACACAGAATGAATCAAAAAGAGATTACAAACACAGAAATCTATGACGATGGAGGAAACGCTGGTAGTAAGTAAAATATTAAGCATATTTGTGCATGTAAAAAAAAATCTACTGTCTGTTAAAAATAATGGCATCTATGACCCTGTATATTGTGAATATCTTGACTAAAACAATCTTAAAATAGTTTTAAAATCTAAGTTTCTGATTCTTTAAAAAAAAGATTAGTCGACAGGTGCAGTTTTGCTAGATTTGAGAATTGAGCTATTACATATAAGTAGAGTGACCTATAGATATTTTCTTTTCTGTATCAGGAGAACCATTTAAATGCTGTATGTAGACCAAGGGGCTCATGTTGCAAAGTAACGTGGTTATAACAATTATTTACTATTTTACTATTATTTACTATTTATAAATCACCAATATATTCTGCTAGACTGTAAAATGAGGGGAATACAGACAATGCAATATAGAAATTACATTGAAAAGTAACAAAGGATCCTACCCAAATGTTACAAATTTCAGCAAATTACAGCACAATTACAGAATCTAAAGGCTTCTGAATTTGCTCCCAGGTTGGTTACCACCTGTACCCTGTAAATCCATGCTACACTGCTGATTAAAGAGACACTATAGGCACCCAGACCACTTCATATCAATGAAGTGGTCAAGCTGCCATGTTCCCCTTTCCTGTTTTAACACTGCAGTAGAAAAATTTCTGATCTGCAGATTGGTAGAGTGGGTTACAAGAAAATAGCAGAGTAATATTGTACTATTTCACCAGATGGTTTCATAGAGACCATCTGATTCGTGCAGCATGTTTTGCTGCGCATGCGCACCAGCCTCCGAATGCTTTCCCATAGCATTGGATTGTTTGAAATCATCAATCATGATCTTAACTAAGGAGGCTGTGGAGACTGGCGCTGTGAGGAAGAAAAGATAAGTAAAACATATTTTTCTGTGTGCGTTTTCTTACTGTACAAGGGGACGCTCACCTAAACTGCCACCAGGGAACTATAGTCTTGGAGATACACATGTATATGTATAGTGTTCCTTCCTTTACTGAGTGGATTATACAGAAAGAATAAATTATATGTTAAAGGGAGATAAAGTTCAACTCACCTACGCCCAAGGGAGACGCTGGGTAAGGAAGGTCCAATCATTCAATCCAGGAGCGATCTTAATATTGCAAAAAGCATGCCATAAACGCACACACCGTGGTAGAAACTAGTTTATTGGCACTAAGCAGGAGGTTTGCATAGCTTCCCCTCTACACCCTGTTCCAAATTATTATGCAAATTCTATTTCTAAGTGTCACAAAGATTAAATTTTTTGTTTTTCAGTTTAACTCATGGGTGGCATTGTGTCTCAGGGTTCTTTTGATCACTGAAAACAATCTCGGACACCTGTGATAATTAGATTGCCAGGTGAGCCCAATTTAAGGAAAAACTACTTATTAAGCAGAGCACCATTTTCATGCAATATGGGGAAGAAAAAGGATCTTTATGCTGCCAAAAATAGTGAAATAGTTCAAAGCCTTGGACGAGGTATGAAAACATTAGATATTTCACAAAAAAATACGCGTGATCACCGCACTATTAAGAGATTTGTGACTGATTCAGAGCACAGACGGGTTCGTGCAGATAAAGGCACATTGAGGAAGATTTCTGACAGATCCATGCATCGGATCAAGAGAGCAGCTGCTAAAATACCATTACATAGCAGCAAACAGATATTTGAAGATGCTTGTGCCTCTGGAGTCCCACGGACATCAAAGTGTAGAGTCCTCCAGAGTCTTGCAACTGTGCATAAACCTTCTATTCGGCTACCACTAACCAATGCTCACAAGCAGAAATGGCTGCATTGGGCAGAAAAATACATGAAGACTAATTTTCAAACAGTCCTGTTCACTGATGAGTGCTATGCAACCCTAGATGGTCCAGATAGATGGAGTAGTGGATGGTTGGTGGACGGCCACCCTGTTCCAACAAGGCTGCAACGTCAGCATGGCGGTGGTGGAGTCATGTTTTGGGCCGGAATCATGGGAAGATAGCTGGTCGGCCCCTTTAGGGTACCCGAAGGTGTAAAGATGACCTCTGCAAAGTATGTGGAGTTTCTGACCACTTTCTTGCCTAGTACAGAAGGAAGAACTGTGCTTTCCGTAATAAAATCATCTTCATGCATGACTATGCACCATCTCATCCTGCAAAGAATACCTCTGCATCAATGGCTGCTATGGGGATAAAAGGAGAGAAAGTCATGGTGTGGCCTCCATCCTCCCCTGACCTCAATCCTATTGAAAACCTTTGGAGCATCCTCAAGCAAAAGATCTATGAGGGTGGGAGGCAGTTTATATCCAAACAGCAGCTCTGGGAGGCTATTCTGACATCTTGCAAACAAATTCAGAAACTGTCCAAAAACTCACAAGTTCAATGGATGCAAGACTTGTGAAGCTATCAAATAAGGGGTCCTATGTTAAAATGTAACGTGACCTGTTAAAATGTTTAAAAAGTTAAAATGTTGTTATACGTTTGATTGAAATAGCTTTTGATTTCAGTAAATCTGCTGCAAACACAACAAATGACAATTTTCATTTCTTTACAACCTATAAAGTGTTTTGAAACTTACTGTGCGTAATAATTTGGAACAGTGCATTGTACGTTTTTTATGTTTAAAAAAATACTGTTATCATTAGGAGGTTTGTTCAATAAAATTTGAATTGTACTCTTAATAGTTGATAACATGAGAATTATGCTGCCTGTTATTTACATCAATTATTTAGGTAAATGAGAAAAATATAATTTGCATAATAATTTGGAACAGGGTGTATAGTTGTAGTATAGTGTCAATTAAATCTTTTCTACCACAGTAAGCAATTGTTTATTGTGTACTTTTTGCAATGTTAAAGGGTTCCACTAACGCTCTTTTTGCTTATTTTGTTTTTGTCATTTTGTGCATTATTGTTTAGGTCACCCCCCACTCCATAAATTGTAAAATAATTTACAAAAATAAAACAATAACTTAGCTGGCATCCAGTACAGGGCAAAGCTCCTGGCACTGCACTCCACTGCCTGTCTGACACCAGGGCAGCCATCCAGAGGTCCAATCAAATGCTTCTTATAGAGCATAGAAGCATTTAATTGGGCCATTTAACTGGCTCAGACCACATGTGCGTGCTCTGAGCTGGTAAGGGAGGGAGGGAATATAAAGATAACACTAATGGTGGGCATAGTTAGAAAGGTAGGGCTATAGTGAAGAAAGGAGGGAGGGGAGATATATATGCTTCCCTTTGCAGGCAGCGCATGCAAGGGATAAGCACATTGTATAAGTCGCCAGCGCACTGTGGGCACTCACTACAGACTTATATTTTGCACAGAATTGACAACCTGGGACAGAGTTCTGGGCTGCCTAAGTCACATGTACCGGGATTATAGCTAGCACTGGCCCACAAGGGCAAAATATCTCTTAATGGGTAGTGGTTGAAGCTAAAACGGGGCACATACAGACTCCCACCACCATCACCACTTCTAAGAACAGAAGTGATGATTGTGGTTGGAGTAACCCTTTAAGATCGCTATCTGTGGAAAATGTGTTCATGTTCAGATAAATATGTAAGGTTCCATGTATATTTTTTTCTATATAGTTTGAACCGTGTACTGAGCACTCGATAATCTAAAAGCATATTGGCGCTAGAATGATTGTAATAGTTGTACTGTCTGTCTATACAAGGGTACAAACATATAGGCATTTTAGGATAGGGCTTTTATCTCTCCACAGAGCTTACAATCTAAATTTGATGTGAAATCAAAACAACAAGGTTAAATCAATTTAGCATGTAGGTGAATTGCATAGTTAAACTCTGTATTAGAGGGGATAGTTAACATGACAGTCCTGATATCATGTTGGGTCTTAACTGAGATGAGAGATGCCATTTTTAAATGTGGATATGAGCAGGGAGTTTCCACAACCCAGAGAAAAGAAGGTTAAATCGTTTTCTTTTCTTGTGGGGGAAACCATTGTAAAATAATTGGATGTTGCAGACCTCACTTGGCATTAAAGTTAACAGACTGATGCATGAGTAACTGTTTAATTAAGGTGATGTGGCTGAGGAAAAATAAAGTTTAAATAAATCATCACATTGCCAATGCTGCTTCATGGCAAAAAGTAAGATCTGGGAGGCTGCAGCCAGTTGGGACATGTTGAGGAAGCTTGGGCTACTTTGACTATAATAGGTGCCATATAGCATGGTTATTGTATATTTAGTAATAAGCAGTCATTATGCAACAGGAGAAGGGAATGTGTGGAAAGTCCTTTGAGACAAGGAACAATGGAGGAGGGAACAGATATCAATAGCATATAACAGAGACCAGAAATTATGAACATTTCTGCCTCCTCGTGGGCCGGTGACATGATCAAGGTTCTGCCTAATTCTGATGGGGGCCCAGAGCGCATCAGGTCTGCACCATCGCCGGGTACAGACACCGAGTAGCTCTCTCTCACCTGAGATTCTGCATTCAGAGCGTTGCCGCGCGGGTTGCCATGGCAACGCTCTGATACTATCAGTGCCGGAGCTCCGCGGAGGAAGGTCCCTGGTCTGTGTACCGCGCTGGCAGGGACTGCTGGACACCCCTATAAGGCCCGAGGTATGCAAGAGGGAGTGAGCGAGAAACTTTATTTTCATAATTAAAATTCATAAGAGTAAATAGAAATTGTACCCCCCCTTCTTTAAAGTCCTATATTACCCCTTCCCACACACAAAACACCCCTATCCCAGCCACAATATGTTTCCTACATACAATGCATGAACTACACACACAGGTACACTAGAGTCTCTGTTTACAGAAAATACAGCCCCTACACACACTCTCTGCAACCCCTATCCACAAATACTATACTGCACAACAAACAACACACAAAAAAAATGTACACACACACTATACCACAAATAGCCCCTTACCACACACACAACATCCCTATCCCACTCACACTATATTCCCTATACACAATGCATGAACTACACATATACACACATACATGTACAGCCCCTAGCCATAAATACTATAGTACACCACAAACAAATCTATCTATACACACACACACACACTACACTACACTACACTACAAATAGCCCCCTCCCAAAGACAACATTCCTGTCCCACTCCCAGCACTTTATTACCTATACACAATGCATGAACAACACATATACACACATACATGTAAAGCAGCCCCTAGCCACAAATACTATACTACACCACTTATACAACACAAACAGATCTATTCACACACACACTACATCACATACAGCCTCTTGTACACACTCACACACAAACCCACAACCAGCCTCCAGATGTATGCACAGTACCCTTTCCTGGCTTTGCCCCACCTCTGTTCTCTGGTTTCTAACTTATGGAAACACCAGAGACAAGACACCAGCAAACGTCGCACATGCGTGACATTAAATTTGCTTGTGCTGCACAAAACAAACACAGTGCCTCTTCCCAATGCAAAGTGGTGGAGTTCTGTTATATTGTGAATTATTATTTTTTTTGCCGTGATTCTCTGTGATACACTCATACACACGTACATTTCTGCGAGTTTTCTCAATAAGTAATGTAAAGGAAAAAAAGCTTTGTATATATGTTGTAAATGCATCTTTCATGGGAGGGGGCGACAAAATGGACCGAAAATCCTTGCACCGACCCTGGCACCAGCACTTGCCTGCTGGGAAACCATTAAAAAATTCCTAGTGGGCCTCTCTTGTCTGGGACTGGTGTCGTTTCACTGCTATAGATGAGTGGCTCCTTATTCACTTCCTTGCGCAGTTATGATCTCCCTCACTGGGTCCCTCACTCCCTCGACACAGAGGAGCCACTGGAAATACACTGCCCAGTGCCAGCTGTCAGCTGCCCGGTACATATAGGTACTGTCATGTAACCCCAGCGCCCAAGCATAAATCAATGCTTGTTGCAGGCAGGAGATTCCGGGAACATGAACTGGAGGAAGGCCTACAAGTGGGAAAGGCTCTACTTTTTGGGAACTACTTCCTAAAACCATGCCATACCTCTGGAGCTATTAATCTTTGTAATATAATTGTGGAATTATAGAAACTGAACTAAAATTAACACAAAAAAAATTTACTGTTTTGTTCTTTTGTCAGACTACACATGGCAGGTTAAAGCCAACGACAGGAATTTTAACCGCTCCATTTCAAAAAAAAGAAAATATGCAGTAAGTACTTTGTATAGTCTTTAAAATGAAAATGCAATGGTAATATACACTGATTGGCCACAACATTAAAATCACTGACAAATTTGCAAATAAAAATCCAATTTGTAAATACTAATTTGTTTTCTTCCTATCTTGTTTGTTTTTAAGGACAACAGCATTAAAACGAGTAAATACAACGTCTTAACATTCATTCCCCTTAATCTGTTCGAGCAGTTTCACAGAGTGGCTAACATATACTTCCTGTTTATAATAATCTTACAGGTAAGTGTTCTCTAGAGAGTAGTATGTTTAATGTTCTTGCTGATCATTAGTACACATAGTTCCCTGAGTGCAGGAAATCCAGATTAGAAAATGCTGACTAATTAGACTTTGTTAAAACCTGATGGCTAAAAATGTCATCCTTACTGTAATGTGACTGTCCTGGGCATTGCAAAAAAATGAAAAACCTGGTAATTGTGGTTCTCGTAGACCATATACAGTCCACCCATTATCAGAAACAAGAAGGCAGAATAAAGTGTGCCCAATCAACAAAAATATATTTTAACACAATATTTATAATATGTTGTTGTGCAAAATTCATATATTATACAGGCCTTCCAACCGTTCTGATTACCGTGGTATAGTCCCGATTTTCGGGTCATGTCCCGCCGTCCTGAGTTTGTTTCCTGGTGTCCCACTTTTGCGGACACCAGGGAGCAGTCCCCCACAAGCATAACATGAGGGCTATGCTAAGGGTATTAGAACTCTACAGGGAGCATAGATACAATGCTCCCTGCATGGTCTGCCCTTCATGGGCCGTCCTACCTTTCCCACCCGCTTTTTAGGATGTCAAAGGTGAGAGTTTTGTATTAAGTGGGCCAATTCACAGAAACAGTTACAGGGTATTTTAATAAAATTAGGATTCAAATTTCAGGCCAAGGTAGCTGAGATTGAAAACTTCTCCCAGTCAGCTATGCATTCAGATCGGCTACTTTGACCTTTAAATCTGAAATTAATTTAGAATTCCTAACAAATCTCACTTTAGTAAATAACTCATTGCATTGCATATCGCCAGGGTTATTCACTAATGTAAAAACTGCATACCTTCTGACATTTCAAATGGACAGAGGGACACTATAACTTTAGGGATGTGAGAGGAGGTGTAGCCAGGGACGAGGCTGTTCTGAGAAATTTTAGACGACTCATCAATAAATATGCTTGCAACTGAAATGTAATTTAGAACAAGAACAATGTATCTTATTTACACAGACTGATTTCTAAACACATTTATTGTAATTTAAAGACACATTGCTGTGAGCTTCATTGCTCTGGAGCTCTGTTACACACTTAGACACACCAACAATAGCTCCTACAAAAGAGGGATTTGAATTCCATATAGGGACTGTCCCTCCTAAATAAGGACACTTGGGAGGTATGGAATTGTCCTTAAATTTGAAATTCACTTTCAAACCCAACAAAGTAGCCAAATTGGCAGCATATTTTTTTTGTTTGGTTGTTTTGCCCTTAAATTTGAAATTCTCTTTGAGTTTATTTTGAATTCTTAAAAATTCTCACTTTAGTGATAAACTCTGTCTATATTAGTTACAAACATATTTCTAAGGGAAGCTACAGCTATGTGGGTTGGAAAATTAAGAATGACATTTCTGAGCTGCAGTGAAAGGATAGCAGCAGCAGAATGGAATAAAAGTAAGATTGTACTATGTTTAGAGGGGTAAGGGGGGGCCACGGGGCCAGATGGTGTTTTAAACATTATAGGGTCAGGAATACATGTTTGAGTTTCTGACCCTATAGTGTTCCTTTAAGAATAATGCAGATGCAGTGTTTATCTGGATGTAAACAGCAGTAGTTAACACAAACACACTCACTGCAGGAGCAGTGACCAGATAGCATTTGGCTGGATGTGTATGATGGGTGTTGAATGCATTAGAATACTTCAGTAGCCATGGATTTTTGTCACTGGAATTTATTCACTATGTACAATGTAGGGGTTTTGCCAGCTGTCGGGCGCTCAATTTCTGTGCTTTTGGCCTTCAGAATCTAATTTTGGACAGAATTGAGATTAGCCAGCCCAAAAATGTGTTATGGGCTGGCTAATTATGCTGCAGAAGGTGGAATTATACCTCTGACAGTTAAGGGCACTTACAGACTCCAGGCACCATTACCACTTCAAATCAATTAAGTGGTAGTGCTTGGAGTAACTCTTTACCATCATTTTCACCTACATTTTCACAATTGTTTCACACATTATTAAATGTAAATAATGTTTTGGCATTTAGAGTATATATTTTTTTCTTTCAGATGGTACCAGCCATTTCTACTGTGCCCTGGTTCGCCATAATGCTGCCCTTGCTTTTCCTCCTGATTATACGAGGAATCAAAGACCTCATTGATGATATAGTGAGTGTGCCCATTTCCTTAAACAGTATACACTATAGAACCTAATAGGTGTCCATAACATAGCATCTGATAAGTCCTCTGCTTTGTCAAACCGATGTGCAGAAAGGTAGAGGAGATCTTCCTGGTTGATACCTTGACTGAATCTAGTAGCCCATACCTATTTATTGTCTCGTTGCCATAGACAGGGGACCACATATGTGCCAGCTAACTGTAGTCAATGTGTGCAAATGCAGAACACCTGAGAAGATGAAACTGTGCACCCCCTCCCTCCCTTCCAAAATATACAATCTCCTACGAGATTGAATAATAAATCAAGATTATTGAGGATTCACATGATAGATATTATTCACTAAACTAAGAATTGTGGACAACTGAGAAGGGGATGCTTTTGGGCCAAAAAAACACAGCATGAAAAAAAGCTCAACTGGATTTTTTTTTTCTAAAATAGATACATTGTCCTAAAAAATTAATATTTAATAATTACCTAATCAATTCTCCATAGTTCCACATGTAGTAAAAAAAACAAAGCAAAACAACATGTCCGTATATTAATATGGAGCACCTGTATTACCTGTTGCAATAATTGGCACTTGGTTACGTCTTACAGTCACGAAGCAAGAGCGACAAAGCTATAAACAACAGGCCATGCGATATTCTCAAAGGACAAAGGTAAGGAAAACTGTCGGGAAAACAGATGGTGTTTTCTAGATTCCTTACTGGATTTAGTGTGGTTTAAGAAGGTTACATTTACTCAATGAATGTCAGCATCAACAGATTTATCTCAGCTTTTGAAATTATCTTTAATACCAAAGCATACCAGAGCGGAAGCAGTTGACACATAATAAATCTTTAATAAATACCAATTATGTGTCATATCTTTTTTTATTCTCTGTTTAATAAAATTATTTTTAAATAAAATTACTTTAAGTTTAAATATGAAGAAAGAATAATCTTTATTTACAGCAAACACACTTTACTGTGTATCTACCAACACACATTTATGTATTAAATTTTATAGTGCTTACACTAAACTAAAAAAATCATGCGGTAGTGCCCTCTGTAAACCTTCTCAGTGTGCACATATAATTCACAACATGCTCATTGAAGTGGTCTGGGTGAAGTGTCCCAGGTCCCTTAAAGCTGCAATGGTAATTATTGCAGTATTTGATAAACTGCACTTATTGCTTTGGAGGGTTAACTCCCCCTCTAGTGGCTGTCTATCAGACACACACAAGCTCACTATACATAAGCTCACTGACACACAAGCACAAGCTCACTACACACAAGCTCACTGACGCACAAGCTCACTGACGCACACAAGCTCACTACACACAAGCTCACTGACACATACACAAGCTCTCTACACACAAGTTCACTGACACACTCACAAGCTCACTGACACATACAGAAGCTCACTACACACAAGCTCACTGACACACACACACACACACACAAACTCACTAAACACAAGGTCACTAGCACACAGCACACTAGCACACATATGCTCGCTGTCACCCACCCCTTGCTGTACATGGAGAGCTGGAAGTTGCCCTATACATGTCTCCCAGACTGTTTCTGTCAGCATGGCCAGCTGGTTGAAGCTAGGGGCTGGGCTTAGGTGTTGTTGGCTATGGCCCCTGCAGCTTGTGCTGCACTTGGGAGAAGCTGACAGGGGGCCTTAGGGTTTTAACCCCATGTGTTTTGTGTTTAAATATGTAGCTTGTCAAATGTATTATTATATATAAGTTATTTTTTTTAATTTTTTTTTTTACATGTTTTCTACTTTTCCTTATGTGTAGCAGTCAAGTTGGCAAAACATGACAAGGCATGGAGCTTAGCCAAAGTTCGGGTTCAGCTGCCAATCAGATGTGCCCACAATCCATCAGTAAATTCAATCCCACCAAAAGGGCAAATAGCAGACATTATGGAGAACAAAATGGAGGCATCTAGATATTGATGTCACATTAGGTCAAATGAATAGCAGAGGACAAAATGGAGGCACATAGATCTAGCACAAGGAAGAAAAGATAGTAAATTTGCATGAAGGCAAGTGGCAAGGAGAGAGAGTATAATCATTATAATACAGTAGCCATAAGAAAAACTAAAAAACACAACATTTCCGCTTTAATATAATCCAAAATTAAAATTTACACTTGCCCAAAGTCTGACTGGGGGATGTGAGGCTTCTTGCAGCTGTAATGAATGCCTCTATATGGCTCTCATTCAGCTCCCTTCATTTCCAGGAGTTATTCAGTGAGTAGGTGTATACACTGTACTACACTATTTCCTGCCTACCTCACACATACATTGCAATCATTCCACTGTATCGTTGAATAAACACTGTACCATTCTCTTATCACAAGCTTCTGCGCAGAGAAGTGGAAGGACATACAGGTTGGTGATATCGTTCGATTACAAAAGGATGATTTTGTGCCTGTGAGTATGTCAAATTTTGCATTGTATTATGCATTGCCAATGTATTTGTTTAGCCAAAGGCTAATTTTAGGGGGTGATCATTTAACAGTTGTACATGGATGCTGAGAGTCACTATGCACCCCCAAATTCATTTAGTGCACCTCCATTTGTTTTAACTTACAGGCCATGGCTATGGGTCTCTAGCACAGGGGTGTCCTAAAGGTTGCTCCACAGATGTTTTAAAACTACAGCTCCCATGATGCATTGCAATTATAAAGGCATTGCAAAGGCATGCAAAGCATCATTGCAGTTGTAGTTCTACAACATCTGGGGATCTACCTTTTGGGCACCCCGGCTCTAGTGTAAGGGCCAGGTCATGACCTGTTGCTGCTCTTTAGCTATTATTTCTTACAGGTTGGAAAAGTAACAATGTCTCTCAAAACCAGACTGCATTGTAGTTCTCTGGAACAGCTCCATGACTCCCATTATGCAAGTTTAGCACCTTAGAAAGATGTGATATCAAATCATCTAATCCTTAGAAGGAAACCATCAGGTTGTTAGAGTGTCCCTCTAGACACTGAAGAAGCTGCCCCAACTGCAAACATGTCAAGTATGAAGCACAGGCAGGAAGGGTCAGATGAGGGGCAAGGGCTAGTTGCCAACTGCATCACTGACTTGCCTCCACACCCCTTTCATTCCCGTCACTACTGGTTTATACCTAGGTTTTCTGAATCAGTCATGCAGTCAAAGTGTAAAGGAATACTGCAGGCACCAAAACAAGTTTAGCTTAATTAAGCCATTTTGGTGCATAGAGTATGCCCCTGCAGTCTCACTGCTCAATTATCTGGAGTTAAATCACTTTGTTTATGCAGCCATAGTCGCACCTTCCTGCATGTGACTTACTCAGACTTCCTAAACACTTCCTGTTAAGAGAGATCTAATGTTTACACTTCCTTTATTGCACATTCTGTTCAATTTGGAATTTCATATCTCCTGCTTTATTAATAGCCTTTCAGACCCTGCAGGAGTCTCCTATGTGTGATTAAAGTTCAATTTACACGACAAGAGATAAACAGCATATGGTTTGATGCCCATAGCATCCCTTTAAGATTAGTACAATTTAATATTTCAGAAAACAGAACAGATCCTAGAACAGGATATTTAGCAACTATACCATAACTATAAAGGTAGAAAGGAAGAGCGTAAATGGATTAATACAGAACTGTCTAAATTTCGGGGGTTCTGTCCCAAATTTATTCCCTGGTGTCTAAAATCAGGGCAGTGTCAGCGTATCATTAGATGTGCTCAAGCTGCTCTTAGTAACCTCAAGGAACTAAGAGCATGGGCAACACCCCTGAGGAGCACACTGTGCATGATCTGCCCTGGCTTGGGCTGACCAGAGCACCTGTCTGTCAGTCTACCTTGCACCATGGCAAGCTTACAAACCTCCCTATTAGTTTTGGGAAAAGCCCACACATTGATGCCCTTTTTTGACATCACCCTGCTGCCCATCCCGTTTACATACCTCCCATTGTTGGGAGGGATGACACAGTTCTAACAGAATACTTTATGGAATACTGAGATACTAATTTATTTTTATTTTTATATTTTTGCTTTTTGTTTTTGATTTGATCAGGCAGACCTACTTCTGCTCTACAGTTTGGAACCTAACAGTCTGTGCTATGTGGAAACAGCAGACATAGATGGGTAAGAATGTGTTTATTTAGAATTGTGTTTAGAATCTATCATTTCCAGTATCCACTGTGCCATTATTTCAAATATTTAAATAGACAAAGGAGGCATAGCTTGGAACATGGTTTCACTGACCATTCTTATGTTACATAATTAGCTACTAATACTAATACTATACACACTACCTTACATGAAATGAAAGACCAAAAAATGATCTATACATTGTGCTAGCAGAATTGATTTGTTTAAAAAAAAAAAAAAACTTTATAAAGATTTCCCCCTTCCCTTGTCTGTAATGCAGTTCTCAGCTTAGAGTTTAGTACAAACAACATAGACCTCTATAACACTGATTGATTGATTGATGGGAGAACAGGAGAACCCTTCTATTGAGTGGTGTTCTGGCTTTCTATGACGGTAACTACAGCATATGCGAAGAGTTTGGGAATGGGATGACAGATGTGACTCAGATATGATGCTGACGGGCCAGAGATTCACTTTAATCATACCTCTTAGTACACTTCAAATATTATATAAACAACCAAATTCCTGACTGGAGGTGATCAGTGGAGACTGGTTCATAGGGGCTGGTGGAGTAACCCCCTATCTTTCCACTGTTTGTTGCAGAAACAAAACCCTCGAATCCATTGTCATGATAGGGATTAATGATATGTGTGTGTTGAGTAGAACATGTTGTATCTACAGTTTCCATCTCCAACCCTTTTTTTATTGGCAAGAAATGCTGCTGGGTGGGTGAACAACTAATCATGTAAAGATTTTTTTGGGAAAATCCCATTTTCTGTGTATAGATATCTAAGAATATTCTTTACATTGGCTATCTGATCCAGGATGCTCTTAGAGAGCAGGAATCCATGATGTCCTGTCTTCTAAGGCAATCATTGGGCAACACCATCTAGTGGGTGGAGTTGGACCTCTTTAAAGTGGTTGTTGTTTACCATATACGTGTATCTATAGGTTTGTGACTTTGGATAGGGCACGATGTCTCATTAGGTCAAAGGTAGAGTACGTGGGGTTAAGTGGGCAGAGTCCAACAAGTCATAGGGGGCAAAACCCAACCATCTATAAAATTCATCAGTCGTCACTGCTGGAAATGTTCCCATCTGTAAGTTACTTGCAGTAGGTTAGATAAAAACATAATAATCTGATATTGTCAGTGTAACAGCTAAAAATCCATGAGCAATTGTAAGACGCTCTGGAAGAAATAAATGGAGAAAATAAAAACTTTTCCTTTGGTGTGTTAGCGCTAGAAGGGCTGTAAAGACTGGCTGACATATTTGTTACAAATATCCCTCTGGTTTTCTAGCAGGGAGAAGGTGAATGTGCTCTATGCACACTTTGCTTTACTTTAAACTTTACTTTAAAGTTTGTCAGTTTTAGCTCAACTTGCAGATCTTCTGCACAATTATTGCCATACTGCCTATTCTGCAATCCACACCGCTCATTCCATCATAGGTCTTGGCTTCTTTAGAACCCATGAAAAACCTTTACGAAAAACAAAGGGACAAACTCAGGCAGGATTGTCTTTCCCTGTCACCTGGAAAAGTGCTATTTTATATGCGTATTGTCTAATTTTTGTGTTTTTATTACAGAGAGACAAACCTCAAGTTTAAACAAGCCTTGATGATCACCCACAAGCTACTCAGTACAACTGAATCAATGGCAGCTTTTAATGGTACTTTGTACTTTTTGTTATTCAACTCCTCATTTATAGCGATCTTTAGATTTCACCGGAAAATTTGTTTGCCAATAGATATTTAGATAATTCACCATTAAAATTGAGTCCCCTCCTGTCGGTTAGACTATCGGCACAGAATCTATGCTGATGTATGTTAGCAAGAGAGCACACCTAGAGGAAAGAGAAGAGCGGTTAGATGATTGATGTAATTCCGTTCAAAAGTTGATGTGCTGGCAATGAAACCGGCACATCAGCGACATAGTGAGGGGCTGTGCCAGGCTTTGAGAAGCAAGTCCAGGCTTCCCAAAGAGGGGCAGTGACAGAGAGCTGGTTTCAGCACATGAAAGAGACAAAGAAAATCAGAGAACATTTTTTTTTTTTTTAAAGGGGCATTACACAACAACATAAAATGACTTCTGCAAAGTTGTAAATTCAATGACAGGTTCACTTAAATTTTTGTGGCGGATTGAGGACAGGCAAGGAAGAACACAGTAACAGCACTAACACAGAGAAGTAGGTATGTTAGAAAGCAGCCGCTGGCTGTAATTTTCTATTAAAATTGTTAATATTTTCTTTTTTTTGAGTGGTCTAAAGTTGGAAACCATAAACAGATTCCTGCATCCCCCACCCCTCCTCTTTCTCACACTTTTCTTGTTCCAGTCTATGGGTAAATGTGGGACTCATGTCATTCATATCATGAAATTATAAAATAGCTGTGCAAAATACTGAAAAAAGCATTGTCAGGTTTTAGAACATATGGGAACATTAATCAGATGACACAGCAATAGATCCCTCACAGGTGGAGTTAAGATATATTTTTAATTGTTGAGTTACAACAGGGGCTTATTCACTAAACTCCAAATTGTAGTTAGTAAAACAAAATACAGGTAGCGCCAAAGAGAACAAGCAGGATAAGAGATCTAAACGAATCTCTAAAAACACAATAAAAAATAGTCCTTGATATAGTCCAACAATAAAATAATAAAAAATATCAGGTGGTAAGACGCAGTCTTAAAAGTAGTAATATTCCATCCTCCAATTTTCATAAAGTGCTTGTGGGGGCAACTTCCGCCATTAGCAGCATATGAAAAAGAACAAAAACAGAGGGAGACCAATAGTGCAATATAGTAGTGTAATAGATAACACACAAAACAAAGGTCTAAAAATGCCAACTCACTTCTGGTAGAGCTATAACCAGCTCTGGATAAAACAGCATGTAGTGGTATTATATCCCCACTTGAAGGATATTCTTCAGGCAATGGTTCACAGTAGAATGATAGAATGATGATGGAGTAGAACATATGAAATGACAAAAAGAAGGCCAATAGTGCTCTCTATTATGGTAAGTATAAAACGCAAATAGTAGAAATATACTCACAGTTGATGGAGCAGACTAACTGCTCTCCGTATCCGGCGTGGGGGGTACAATCCTCACCTAGGATTCTTTATATAATTGTCTGTAGGGGGTATCTGTATGGGTAAAACCACAGGTAAAAGGATTCAGAGTGGATTCCTTCAACTTTAACCAGGCAATTTATTTGGACGAACCAGCTCAAATTATTTTTTTGCAGAGGTTTACTAGTTATGGTGGTCGGAGGCCCCTGGCTACACTCCATTGTTAGGAATCAAACTGTTCTTGAATGGTTTGACTTTAAGCTGGTTGCCCCATTGCTTTTGTTTGCTTTGTATCCAAATTGTAGTTAATTAAAATCTGAACGGCAAAATGTAGGTTAAAATAAAAAAGCTGTGATAAAGTTGGAATTTTTTTCCCAGATGAGTTTTTTCTTACATTTTGCCGTTCAGATTTTAATTTACTGAAATTTATTTTAATTCGGAATTTAGTGCATATTCCCTGAAAATTGACATAGTAAATACGAAATTCCACTTAGCTTTTTGTACCTATAAACCATTGTTTATAGTGTTTGCACAATGGAGTGAATGTTGCTTTACAACAGTAAAGTATGTTTGTTATATTATCATGTTTTAGGTAAAGTAACCTGTGAGGAGGCCAACAGCAACCTGCACATTTTCACCGGAACATTGGAGTGGAATGCTGAAAAGTATTCTTTGGACAATGAGCATATTTTGCTACGAGGTTGTAGAATACGGAATACTGAGACCTGCTATGGATTGGTCATTTATGCAGGTAATTGAAGCCACATAACCATAGATGGACCATAGATTTAATTCAATTCCCTTCCCACCTATTATAAGTTTAATTAAAAATACATAAAAATCTCATTCCCACCTCCCCAAAATATCCATGAAATGTTGCGTTTTATGTGTCAGTATGGCAGATAAAAGTTCCTACTTAAAGGGATCCTATAGTGCCAGGCAAATAAAGCAGTTTTCCTGGCATTATAGGTTTAATAGGCCCCCCACCTTCCACCCCCCTTCCGCGGGGCTGAAGGGGTTAAAATCCCTTCAGCCACTTACCTGAATCCAGCGCCGATGTCCCTCGGCGCTGGGTCAGGCTCTGCCAAGGCTCCTCCCCTGCCACCATCAGTCAGTGAGGGAGACCTAATGCGCATGCGCGACAATGGCTGTGCGTAGATTAGACCTTCCCATTGGAAAGCATTATTCAATGCTTTCCTATGGGGAAAATCTGATGCTGGAGGTCCTCATGCATAGCGTGAGGACATCCAGCTTCAGATAATGGACCAAAGGTGCGTTTGGATTCCGGATTCTGGTGGAAAGCCACAGAGGGCAGACTTAGAGCTGCAATGTAAACAGTACAGTTTGTATTTGTGCATTGTAGGCTTGAGATAGACAATACCAAACAGGGGTCAATACTGACTAGAAACATAGAATGTGACGGCAGATAAGAACCATTCGGTCCATCTAGTTTGCCCAATTTTCTAAATACTTTCATTAGTCCCTGGCCTTATCATATAGTTAGGATAGCCTTATGCCTATCCGACGCATGCTTAAACTCCTTTACTGTGTTAACCTCTACCACTTCAGCTGGAAGGCTATTCCATGCATCCACTACCCTCTCAGTAAAGTAATACTTCCTGATATTATTTTTAAACCTTTGTCCCTCTAATTTAAGACTATGTCCTCTTGTTGTGGTAATTTTTCTTCTTTTAAATATAGTCTCCTCCTTTACTGTGTTGATTCCCTTTATGTATTTAAATGTTTCTATCATATCCCCCCTGTCTTGTCTTTCCTCCAAGCTATACATGGTAAGATCCTTTAACCTTTCCTGGTAAGTTTTATCCCGCAATCCATGAACCAGTTTAGTAGCCCTTCTCTGAACCCTCTCTAAGGTATCAATATCCTTCTAAATGAACGGTCTCCAGTACTGTGTAAAATACTCCAAGTGAGGTCTCACCAGTGTTCTGTACAATGGCATGAGCACTTCCCTCTTTCTACTGCTAATACTTCTCCCTATACAACCAAGCATTCTGCTAGCATTTCCTGCTGCTCATTACATTGTCTGCCTACCTTTAAGTCATTAGCCTACCTTTAAGTCATCATGCTACATGCTCATTTTTAAACTTAAAGGGTTGCTCCAACAGTGAAGGCTACATTCTAATTTTCTTGGTAACTACTCACTATAGAATTTATTCCCTGTTTTGTAGTTTTTGTTTTTGATGCTTTTACAGACAATTAATAAAATGGAAAATAAATAAAAGATACTCACTTTTATATTTCCTATGTATGTTTGCCTGCTGTCATCTCTACATATCACACAATGCTGTACAGGGAATTGTTGTTGTTTTTTAAACTTCTGATTGTAATTAGATTAAGGGGGCAGTCTATTGCCCAAATAAACATAAATCACTGTTTTGTAGCTGCACACCTAATGAAAGCATTTTCTCATTGGGGTATATTTAAAAACAGCTTGCAAAAGGTGAAGATCTCATCTGCTGCCTTTGCAATCCCTCCCATTCTAACTCCGCCCAGACTTTCTCTGGCTGTCCAATCACAGACTTCCCAATGCAGCTCAATAAGAAGTTATTGTAAGGTGCTCTATGCGATTGCTGTCTCTTGTGTTTAGTTCCACTGAGCTAACCAAACCAGGAAGTAACAGGACTGATTGACAGCCAGGGTGCTGTAATAAGATTCATTTATAAAAGTGCCAGTTTCTATTTAAATCTGCACTTTTGTAATATGAAATAAGAGGACACACTCTTCACACATAAAACATTTGCAAGCTTAAGTGATTTAGGGATTTGGATTGTCCCTTTAATTTAGAAATCACTTGATTTTAAGCTATTTGTGAAAACTCTTCTTTTTTTGAGATGGCAGACTTAGATTTAACACCTCATGAGTGAAAATCACAAAAGGAGACATTGTTGCGAGTGATTAAAAGTGATAGCTTAGTTGTTACCAGCTTGTATGTAGTTTCATTTGTGGTGTATTATTTTAGTACGTTTTTTGGCAACCTTGTTAGTCAAGCGTAGAATTGTTGTTATTTAAACTTAATTTTGACCCAAATAAGAATCTTCTAATTTTTCATTTTTCAACAGGAATTGATTCCAAAATCATGAGGAATTGTGGCAAGGTCCCAGTGAAGAAGACAAACTTGGATATGATGATGAACAAACTTGTAATTATTGTGAGTATGAGTCAAAGCGACAATTAAAGTTCCTTAGGCTAGACCTTGCAAAATGACAAAACATCCCATTTCAGGAATGTAAGCTTGTTTTCAAAAATATTCTGGAAATGCTCTGTGAATTAATCTATATCAATTGTACATGTAAGAAATCATTTATTTCTTCTGAAAACAACAAAAACTCCATATTAAGGTGAAATGTGAAATTTTTTACATGTTTGACAATTAATAATTTAAATTAAAATAATTATGTAAATAATGTTTCCACTTGCTTTTACATAACTTTTTTTCTTATATGTTATTACCTTATTTCAGGTATTTGTGATTCTGATTTTTTGCTGTCTATCACTGGCCATTACTTCAGGGTTTTGGGCCAAATGGTTCATGGAACATCACAGCTATATTCCTCCTCTATCAAATAATGCCAGTCCAGCGTACAGCGCATTCCTTACCTTCTGGGGATATGTTATACTGATGAGCACCATTGTGCCAATGTCTATGTATATAACGTACGTACAGAGTCCAAAATTATGTAAGATTGTAATCGAATTGAGCTTAAAAGATTTGATCCAATTTCAAAATGTCAATTTAAAAATGGTTTGAGATATTAGAGAAGCCGTATAACTGCACCACACTCATAGGACCTCATTGCTTGCTGTCAAAGGGTTACTCCAACCAAAAAATAGTGTTTTCATTAAACACTATATTTGGTTAGAATACCCCTTCCTAGCATGCCCCTCCCCCTCCTCAAAAAAGGGAGAAAGAACGTTAAAAATTCTGTTCACATGGAGCCCAAGTTCCTCTTGCAGCCCAAACTTCCTCGGGTGACCTTAGTCCCCCTCACTGCAGGGGAAGGGACGTTCCAGGAGGAGGGGCTTAGTTCAGGACTTGGGCAGCACAGAGGTGGTGGCACGTGCCCCCATTGGTCATCCATTAGCAGCACACATAGCATAGCACATAGACTCCCAAAATCCACAAAATTAAACATCACCCAGCCTGGAATGGGTGATAATTAATAATCAGTTAGCTTTTAGTGTTAGTTGATAATGGGCCTGGACCAAAATAACCATCAACAATAGTACGGAGTAAGATTCTGCAGTGACATAAGTGATATATTGTTGAAAATTGTGTTTTATGAGTGGTAAAGGAACTAGGTAACTCTAAAACATAGAATGTGTCATTCAAAAAGTGTTAGTCCGTTTTGGAAATATTATATTTATCTCTTGTTTTCAGACTTGAGTTTATCCATCTGGTTCATAGTATGTTTATTGACTGGGATTTGGAAATGTATTTTCCTGAAAACAACACGCCAGCAAAAGCTCGATCTACAAGCCTTAGTGACCTGCTTGGACAAGTTGAATACGTATTCTCCGACAAGACTGGAACGTTGACTCGGAACGTTATGGCATTTAAAAAATGCTGCATCAAAACACAAATCTACGGTAGTTCATAGTAACTATTTTATTGTTATGAGAACGAAATCTGGGAAAGACATATCTGGGAAAAGTAATAAGCATCAACTTTTTAATTTATATTGTTAGTTTAATGATTTATTATCAAACCATTCATAACAGCCCCAGCATTGACAATACTGGTTTAATACTTTTGCAATACCAGTGTTAATTTAGTCCAACCTGGACCGGACGACAATGTTCGTCTGACAAAATCTCAGCCTCATTTGCATAGAATCAGTGTGCGCTATTGTTTTGTGTCTCGGAAAGGAGAGCAGAGCAGTTATACAAAGAGACAGAATGGTTGAAGGTACAAAGAACAGTTCTAATAATTTTCAAGGTGTAGATTCTACACAATTATTTACAATTTCTCAAAGTTTTCATTAGTATATAGTTTTTCCTTTCTTTCTTTCTTTCTTTCTTTCTTTCTTCCCTCCCTTCTATCCTTCCTCCTTCCCCTTCCTTCTGCTTCCTTTCTTTCTTTCTTTCGCTCTTTTGTTCATTCCTTCCCTTTCCTTTCCCTTCCATTCCTTTCTTTCATTCCTTTCATTCTTTCCTTTCCCTTCCATTCCTTTCTTTCTTTCATTCGTTCGTTCATTCATTCCTTTCATTATTTCCTTCCCTTTCCTTTCCCTTCCCTTCCTTTCTTTATTTTGTTCTTTCTTTCTTTCCTTTCTTTCTTTCTTTCTTTCTTTCCATTCTTCTCTCCCTCCCTCCCTTTCTTCTCTACCACCATCGCTCCCTCTATTTCCCTTCCTTCTCTCCCTCTCCTTCCTCTTTTTCCTCCCTCTCTCTCTCTCTCTCTTTCTTTCCTTTAATTACTTAATTTATTAATGTCTTTCCATCATTTCTTCCCTCCTTCATTAGTTCCTTCATTCCCTCCCTCCCTTCCTTTCCTTTCTTTTCCTTTCATCATTTCCTTCCTTTCCTTTCCCTTCCTTTCCTTTCCCTTCCTTTCCCTTCCCTTCCTTTCCCTTCATTTCCCTTCCTTAATTCAGTGCTTCTCCCTAACTCCATAATGATATTATTATTATTATTATTTTATTATTTATATAGCGCCAACAAATTCCGTAGCGCTGTACAATGGGTGGACTAACAGACACATAAGATGATATGCTGGAAAGTGTGACACAGTGTGATTCTTTGTCCAACTCGTCTCACATGGTTTGAATTAAGAGCAGTAGATGCCAAAAGCATCAGCTACCCATAATGTTTAATCATATATTAGAATAAAGCAATTCATACATCATTCAGAATTTTGACCTTGTGATTTAAGATATCTCCAGAACCTCTCAATGAAATTTTTCACCATAATACGTGCTTTACCGTTCCATATCCTGTATATAATTGCCTTCATTAATACATGCCAGCAATAATCAATATAACTTTGTAAGTTAATTACTAATTTTAAAATTATATTTCCATGTATGTGTTACATTTTATGTGTTCATGCCAGTTCAGTTTAATCTGTGTAATACCTATTGCAGTTCATAAATAAATATTCTTTTATTTTGTAGGTACAAATGTAGAAAATGAGAAGAACAATCAGGTATGTAATTTGTTTTTATAATCTCTGTATGACATGCAGTTTAAACTGTTTAATGATGTCATGGAAAGTAATGTGTAGCATTTAGTTGATTAATTATTGTACTGAATGCAGTCACTGCCCCGTCTAGAAGTGCTGATAAGAGTTGGTATTTGCATTTAGGACTCACTAATATAAAATATATAATATCCCCAGTGGTGAGAGTTTAGTAATACTGGATAGTTTTGCTCCATCCTTTATCACCTGTGCCATATGTAAAGCTTGAAGAAACACTCCAGACACCAAAACTACTACAGTCCGCTGTAGTGGCTTTTGTGCCAGAAGGGCCATTTTGGTATTCCAAGACGTTCTCGAATGGACGCACCAACAGAGTTCCTCCTTCTTCCTGGTGTGTTGTAGATTCAGCCGAGTTAGATGGAGGCTAAAGCAGGGGTGTGTATATTACCAGAGAGATTGAACATGCCTAGTATATGAGTTGTGAACAATAAATTATTGTTGATTAAGAGACAGTATTATAACCAAGCTATTACCAGGCATAACATCCCCAGTCCCCATGTTGGTCAGGAGTTTTGGGCAAGTGCACCCTCGATTCTTCTAGACATTTAACAAGATCACTAACCGGCCTCATACTGGCATCTTCCTACTTCTCCGAAAAATATCATTTGTACTTCCTCACCAAATTTTTGTTAATTTATTTTTTACATATTAGGGGACCCCCTTCCCTTGCAAAGGCAGTAGGTTGAGGCATCTGCAAGAAGCGGTGCTTCATCTAATTCTGATAAGCGCAGTTGTAGGACACATTTGGGGGAAAGAATGATCCTGTCCCAAATTCTATATATCTCACCTGTAGAAGTAATAAAATGTGTCTTGGATGTTACTCCAGCATGAACACAAAAAGGTATGAACCGTCCCGAACTGTTCCTAAATGAGTTAAAAAGAATTCTGTTACATTTTCACTGTCGAGCAGTTCTCATATATTAATGTATATAGGTTTTTTTTTTTTATAATTTCGAACTTTTTTTTTTTAACACCAAAAACATGGTAACAGTACACAAAGGAAGAAGAGATCATTTGTGATGACACAATATGTCCCCTCTCTGTCCCCATCCCAAATCAATTAATTGTAGTAATAGAGAGCTGTCAGATGTGAGATGTGTGTAATCTCACATTTTTATACATTGTTACCATTTACTAATTTACTGATTTCTATGCTGGTTACATTGAATCAATATTACCTCGTCAGTATTTGTACGTTATGTAGTATTTGTATAGACTTGAAAATGTTATGTCAATAAACAAACTATGTTGTATTTTATGTATGTAGCATTTTTATACTGCACAAAATTAAAATTGTATGTTGTACTTTATCGTCTCAACTTTAGTTTGCTCTTTTTTATACACATTATTTATTAGTACTTTGCAGTTTATTATGTTTTGTTTACATCATATGTAATGGTTATAGTGCCAGAAGTTGCCTAATGTCCCCCCCAAAATAAGAAGTCAAACCCCTTGCTAACAGTTTGACAACGTACGTCAGGCACCTGTCGCTTCCTCCCTTGTCTACTAACATTGGGGGTGCTAGGGCACTCATCGCACCATAACAACTTCAGCAAGCTGTCATGGTTACGGTGCTTGGATCATTCCTTGATCAGACTGTAATGCAAGTATAGTCCATCACTGGTCCTGTTTAAAATATGAACCTGTTTTCTAGTCAACACTGTTACGAGGATATTGGTTTATTTTACGGAATGGAGGAAACAATGACTTCAATATTTTACAGGTGGTTGACTTCAAGTGGAATAAATATGCAGATAACAAGTTCTGTTTTTATGATGAATCTCTAATTGAAACGGTTCGCCAGAATGAAGACGAGATTTTGAGGGAATTCTTTAGACTGCTTGCAATATGCCACACAGTGATGGTAGACCGAAATAAAGGTAATGATCGGAAAGCTACACTTTTTCTACAATATCTCAAAACATTCCTTTATGTTTGTGCAATAGCATCCTATACCGAAATCTCTTACTCAATGTATCTTCTTTTCTATGAAAAGTAGTTATTCTTTTAAAAGTTTATAGAAACACTCCAAGCATCATAGCAACGAGCTGTAGTGGTTATGGTGCCAGAAGTGCCCCCTACCCATTGCAAGAAATCAAACTGGCACCAGGTTAGAAGTTAAAACGTTAAACAGACACTTCTCCCCTCCTCCCCTACGCCTTGTGGAGAATGGAATGATGCTCCTAAGCAGGAGCTGCCTTTGCCATTCTGAGCTGTACTGTATGGATAATTGTGGGACAAAATATTAAAAATAGCACTGCTGGCCTTAGCTGAGACCGCAAAAAATCAGTGCTTTTTTTTTAGTGGAAAATTTTAAAATAGTGAAAGCGGGGAGTAGCACCATACAAACCCCCAGTATGAAGCAGTTTATTCTAAAACAGTTTAACTCATTTCAATTGGGGAGTGCCAGGCCACTCCTGGTACAATACACATTACAGTGCCACTACTGCAGTGGTTATAGTGCGTGGAGTGTTGCTTTAAAGCATTCACCCACCCCTTCAATCCATGCTTTAACAAGTATGCAATGGATGGGATATTGAGCTAGTCTCTTTTTAAGCCTATAATCGCTAAAATGAAATCCAGTTTTTGTTTGTTAAATGAAGGTAAATGAATGTAGCTCGCATATCGTTGTGATTGAAATGTCTAGAGAAGAGACCCACATTAAAATAGTTTTTTTAATTTTTGTTAATTTACCATTTTTTATATAGGGAAAGAGCTTTGCAAAATTACGCACTTATGCCAAAATGATTACAGAGAATATAATACATACTTAGACATACTGGTAAAAAATTAAACTCCATGCTTATTATTATGAATGTATTATTATTATTATTATTAATTATGAATTCATTTACAAGTTTATTAACTAATTGATTAGTGAGCTTATTAAAGGAATACCCCAAGCACCATAACCACTACAGCTCATGTTAGTGGCTATAGTACCAGGAGTGTACTGGTGACCCTCCCTCCCCCTATTGTAAGAAGTCAAACTGTTGAAAAACAGTTTGACTTCTTACCTCATGTCTTCCATGCACCGGTACCCATCTCAACTGCCATCTCCAGAGAGCCAGGAGATCTTAAAGGGACACTATAGTCACCTGAACAACTACAGCTTAATGTAATTGTTCAGGTATGATCTATAGCTCCCTGCAGGCAATCTAATGTAAACACTGTATTTTCAGAGCAAATACAGTGTTTACATTGATTGATTGCAATACCTCCAGTGGCCATCACTCAGACGGCCACCAGAGGGACTTCCTATCATGTAGGGCCATAAAAAGGCCTTGTACACGTCAGACGTATTAAAATGCGTCTGACGTGGGCAGGAGAGAGAAGGCACTGTGTGCGGTAGTGCTCATGAATGCTGCCCTCTGAAGTATGTGCGCATGTGCGGCAAAGCCGCGCATGTGCACAAGGGAGCAATGACGCTTCAAAATGGAAGCGTCTGATTGCTCCCTGCTCGCGCCCACCTATTTCGTAATTTTGACGAAATAGGGGACGCGGCTTCACAAGGCTCCCGGCGCTGGAACCAGGTGAGTAAAATGGCTGCCTGGAGAGTCCCTTTAAGTAGGAACTTCTGTTACCTCTCCTAAGCTAAGCCCTACATTAAAGACAGCAGCTGACTCACCTATGACTGTAACTGTACAAAGAAAGTAATGGTCCACTATGCAAGCGCGTGTGGCCTTCATGCTTCTCCCAATGCACAGATCTTAAAGACCTAACATTCAGAGAAAAGTTAACTAGATCGTTCTAACAATATTGCTAGTGGTAAATACAGAGTATGACGAGTAGATGTGTTCAATAAATGGGTATGAATGTAATTTCTCCTTGTGTCCTTCAAGATGAATTAGTCTACCAAGCCGCAAGTCCTGATGAAGAAGCATTAGTAACAGCCGCCAGAAACTTTGGGTATGTTTTTCTTTCTCGTACCCAAGATAGCATCACTACAAATGAACTTGGAGTAGAGAGGACCTATGAGGTACTGGCTCTTATGGACTTCAATAGTGTCCGCAAAAGGATGTCCATCTTAGGTAAGCTGCTTTGGAACCAGATTACGGGTACAGTCCTTTGATTACCAGTGATACTGTTGTACACGTTGTAAAACCTGCTGGTACACCAACAAACAATACTTTTCATTTACAGTGAAAGACCCTGAAGGAAGGATTAAGCTTTACACTAAAGGGGCAGATGATGTTATTCTTGCACGCATCCATTCAGATTGTACAGATGGTGAAATAACAGAGAAAGCACTGGAAGTAAGTCACATAGTTACACAGGTTGAAAAGAGACATGCGTCCATCAAGTTCTGCCTATCTCACATTTCTTTTTGCTGTTGATCCAAAAGAAGGCAAAAAACCCAGTCTGAACAACTTCCAATTTTGCAACAAACTAGAAAAAAAAATTCCTTCTTGACCCCAGAATGGAAGTCAGATTTATCCTTGGACCGAGAAGCTATTACCATTAATCATGTATTCTAGTGTTAAGGATAAAAAAACTCTGAAAAGAATAGGTGTGGTAACAAGTTGTAACACTGATAGCATACAACGCTATCTATGTGTTATGACACTTCATGCCATTATCAAGTTGGGTTGTTCAAATTTTGTTATTTTGCCTATTCCACTTATCCTTAGCCATGCTAAAGAGATCTAAAATTTTGAGAATTTACTTTATTCATTCAGGACTTTTTGTCACTTGTTTGACATTTCACCGCATCACATGAAATACCTATATATTTATAACTATAGTCTATATCTGTAGTGCATTCTCCTGTTAAATCTTTTGTATCATTTATAATTTTTGTCCAGATGTTTGGAAGGGAGACCCTCCGGACGTTGTGCATTGCTTATAAAGAAGTGGATGTTTCGTTCTACACAAAATGGATTCAAAGATATCATGAAGCGAGTGTGTCTTTGCAGAATCGTGCAGAGTTTTTAGGGATGGTTTATGAAGAAATTGAGACAGATCTACAGGTATTCAGAGTTCTTTTTTACTATGTCACAAAAATGTCACTGTGTTATTTAAAATAAATGTATGTGCTTTGTATGTGGTTTTGTGCCCTCATTCAATTTTACTGCTTTGCATGAAAATATTTTTTTAAGCTTCCTTAATACTTTACACCTCTAGTAATAGCTTGTGTTAGGCAGGGTACTTCCTGTTGTATGTATTAAACAGGAAAGATAAATGGGAGAGAAATATGGGAACAATCGTAAAGGTCACAGTAGATACTGACATGAGGGTAATGGGGAGGCAAGGTGTGACAGAGAAAAGAGGAGATAATGTGGAGACAAACAGGTGGGTGGTGTAAAGACTCAAGTGGTGGAGGATGGTGAAAACAGAACAAACGGAGGTGGAGTAATCCAAAAGTTACAATAAAAAAAAATATATACCCATATAAATAAACCTCAAATACACATACACTTTGACACAGGTTTTAACTACACCCGTTGTTCACACACACTGAGACAGATTTCTAATACACTCGTCCTTTACACATGCGTACACGCTACACACATATAACCCTGCTTCACATTCACGCTGACACTCCTCACAATTGCACTCCTAAAGTAACACACTGCTCAAATGTTCTACTGTGTTCACAGGTAATCCATACAACCCTGTCCTCGAATGCATTCACAGACTGTCCACGCTAATACACTTTGGCATTCATACACCAACACTTCCCTGTATCTATACACATAGGCCTCTATAAAAAATACACCACAACATTCACAAGTAGTCAAAACAAAACACTCTTACAATCACATCTACATTCCATACAGATACACCCCTGCTTTCACACACATCTGTTATACTCTCTCGTAGAACACTGTGTTAACTCTCTGACACTACATGCTAATAAACCTATGCCAGTACACATCGTGTACTTTTAGATTGACGCAGAGCGTGAGGACATTCAGCGTCGTTTCACAGAGTCAAACTCTGTGAAACTCCAGGGAGCATCTGTAGTGACTATCTGGTAGATAGCCATTAGAAGCAGTCTTAGCACTGTAATGTAAACATTGCAGTTTTTGAGAACACTGCAAGACTAAGGGGGACAGGGACACGGCACTCAGACGACTTCGATGAGTGTTTTGTGTGCCTATAGTGTCCCTTAAAACTTGAAATTCACTTTTAATTCCCATCAATTTTAATTTTAGTAAACTACCCTGCTAGTGCTTTTATAAACTTAATTTGCCATATTTCACAGGTATTTACTGAAAACATTACATACCATGTATACAGCATAAATGCACAGATATGTTTATTATTATAGTTCACATAGTGTAGTGAGTGTTTGCAGTCTTTTCTATTCCTCTTTACGGCTAGATCTGTGATTTTCCAGCCCTCAAAGCACACTAACAGTCCGGGCTTTGTCACTATCCGCACGGGAACAAAAATGGGAATTGCATTGGAAAATGCACAAATCCTGGACTGTTGTTGTTCCTTGGAAACTATTGTGTTGGGATCCAACTAATCTAGGACCGGTTGGTGTAATTTTTATATCAGCGGATTGTATGCTCTATCGCCCAGCATGGAAAGTAGGTGCTCTTCAGTGTTTAGCTTCCCCTATTGAGAGTAGCCAACATTTCAGCAGATGCTAATTTTCAGTCATTACGTGTTGAGTTGTGTAGCATGGAAATAGCCAGTATTTAGTCATGTTAGTGACAACCATTTTAGTGGTTAGCAACTTGTCGATAATTGATTGTAACTAGCGTGGAATGGAGCGCTTTTTGAGTGCACCTCGATCTTTAGCAGGTATACAGTGTGCATCACTGTGTGTGTTGGTGTGCGTGTGCATGTGCGCTCGTATGTTCTGATTTTTAATATTGTTTTGATTTCTGACACTGGTAGAGAAACACACATTGTGTATAGTGTATAGTGATAATCAGATGTACTTGTTTACGTTGTGACTTGTTTCCCAGCTGCTAGGTGCAACAGCCATTGAAGATAAATTACAAGATCATGTTCCAGAAACAATACAACTGCTAAAAGATGGAAATATAAAAGTGTGGGTGTTGACTGGGGACAAACAAGGTAATTCTTATAGAGTAGAGTGCATTGCTGCACTGGACAATTTTGGTTTTGTCATGTCCCCTGCCCGACCTGCGTTCTTCCAGTGTCACCGCATTTCATTCCCCCCTCCCCCCTGTGTCATTCCTATGTCAGAACGCTATATCTGCTTACGTTTATACCCAGACAAAGGCCCTTTGGTCGCGTACATTTTGGTGCTGCCTATAGGAATGATGCAGGTCCTATTTAAGCTTAGTACACCTTTAGAACATTGCCCTTTTGTGGTCTATCACACTAAACAGCACATCCAGAGTATATTAGCTTTTCTGGTTTTCACTCATGGCATTCCCTTTGACTATGCTATCCTATGTATCTCTGATCTTAAATTGTCCTACCATATTGCTGCCATTCTGTTAGCCCTTGACCTCAACTTGTCTCTGACTATTCTTGCCTTCTACAGGCCTATCTCTATCACTTTACTGTAAAGTGTTAAAGAGACACTATAGTCACCAGAACAACTACAGCGTATTGTATTAGTTTTGGTGAGTATAATCAGTCTCTTCAGGCTTTTTACAGTAGAAACAGTTTTTCAGAGAAAGGGCAGTGTTTCATTACAGCCTAGGGATGCCTCCATTGGCCAATCTGGGCCAGTGCTGCTGACATTTAGTGTCCCCACCCACTACATGGAGACACTGAACTTTCATCATAGTCCTCATGAAGAAATGCTGATTGGCCAGGGCTGTGTTTGCTTGTACCGAATCTGACCCTCATCTGTCTCTTTGATGAGCTCAGCCAATCCAATGCTTTCCTATGTGAACGCATTGTGATTGGCTTTTAATAACACTTCTGATGATGTCAGCCAAGGAGGCAGATCAGGGGCAGAGCCAGCAGCAGCAGACTGGAATAAAGTTAAGATTTTAATACATTTAGGGGGTAAGCGGGCTTCTAGTCTAGTTTTGAGGGTAGGGATTAGATCCAAAACCTGTCAAGTTCTTAAATTATAGTAGAACATATTGTAAAAGTCAATAACAATGATGTTAAGAGACCAATACATTGGTATTAGAAATTCTAAATTAGGGAAGCTAAATAAAATGTTGACAATGTGAGTCACAGCTAAGGGAGGTGTGACTAGTGCTGCATAAACAATGTGATTTAACTCCTAAATGGCAGAGAATTGATCAGTGAAACTGGTGGGGCATGATCTATATACCAAAACTGCTTCATTAAGGTCTTACGTTGTGTTGGTGATTGGTGTCCCTTTAATATTTTAAATTGTTTCCATGATTTTCTCATAATTAACAAATATGTAATTTTTATTCTGTAGAAACTGCAATCAATATTGGTTTCTCATGCAAGTTACTTTCTGATGATATGGAGATATTGGACGAAAAACAGATTTGGTAGGAAAATGTAACTTAAAGTGTCATGCAAAAATTATATGGTAGCACTTTCTGTATAGTATGGTAGAAGAATGTCCTAGAAAAATGTTAAAATTTAGCACTGATTATAAGGTACATTTTATTTCCTATCTGAATGAAATGAGAAGCACAAAGTGTGGAGGCGTTAAATGTAGGTCCTGCAAAATTAGCTGGACCTTTTCCAGGAAGTTCCTCGAGTGGACTTATGGAGCAGTGTAAACACTGCCTTTTCTCAGAATAAGCAAAGTTTACACTGCTGACCCTGTAGGGACAAACTGTATGCCCCAGAACCACTACATTAAGCTGTAGTGACTCTGGTGACTGTAGAGTATAAGGATATATTAATATTTTTCCTCACATTTTTCTTTTAATTTGATAGTTGGTGCTGTGCTTCTATACATCAGCAAAACTAAGTCATATTGTTTTGTTGTTGTTAGATCCAGTTTTTTTGTTTTGTTTTTTTAAATGTGGGAACATGCACCACAATATTTATGTAGGGACACGGTGATAAGGCTTTAGTAGAACTGTGTAGTATAGAATTAATTTTACCATCTGGTAACAAATCGGAAAGCTATTTCCTTGATTTTCCTCTTATCTTGTGAAAAGTTTTGTCAAATACAGCCAAATAAGAAACATTCCCCAACTGCACTCTTTTCCCAACTATTTTGGTTTAAATGTTCAGTTCCCTAATCAATATCCATTATTATTTGTTTGGTGAATAACATTAAAAATGTTTCCTCTTACAAAAGGCTAGCCTGTAAATCAAGTCCTGTCAATTGTCCATATTTGATTCTTGAAAAGCAACAGATAACATAATAGTCAAATTTCAGAGAAAAAGCAGTGTTTACATTACAGCCTATGGATACCTCCACTAGCCACTCCTCAAGTGGCTACTAGAGGTGCTTCCTGGGGCAGTGCTACACACTGTATAGTACTGCCATTCAGTTTCTCCACCCTCTGCATGCAGACACTGAACTTTTCTCATAGAGATGCATTGATTCAATTTGAGGAGATGCTGATTGGCCAGGGCTGTGTTTGGCTTGTTATTGCTCTGCCCCTGATCTGCATCCTTGACAGTCTCAACCAATCCTGTGGGGATGCATTGTGATTGGTTTAGAGAATCACTTCTGATGATGTCAGCCAAGCAGGCAGATCAGGGGCAGAGGCAGTAGCTGCAGACTCGAATAAAAATAAGATTTTACTATATTTAGAGGGGGAAGGGGTGGCTAGATGGTGGATGGTGGTTTTAACACTTTAGGTCAGGAATACATGTAAATAGTGTTTCTTTAATCATGTTCCTTAAGATAGCCATCAACTGAAATATATGTAGTCCTTGTTCAAGTCTGTGTTTGGACATGAGTGGTATTGAAACTGGATGTTTAAAGCAGATTATCATACATTTGTGTATGGCCAGGTAGATTTATAGAGGTACTCCTAAATAGTCATTATTAATCAATAACGTGGCAAATACAAGAGGGATAATTACATTGAATTGTTGGATACAATTTTGTGTTTTGGTGATAAGCATGTGAAAGGTTGCAGTTGCGCTGTAAGTCACAAAGTGTGTTAAAAATGGAAAAGAAGCTTGTTGCACAGTAAACAAGAAAAGGAAAACAAAAAAAACAATATATTATTTTAGAACAATCAAGACATTGCATGTACCAAGTCATGTGTGTACTCCTTCTAGGGATATTCTGGACACTTACTGGGAGGAAAACAACAATCTGTCAAACAGTGGGCAAGATCTTCTGAGCATCAACCTTTTCAGGAAACATGGAGACAGTCTAAAAGGGAAGAAGATAGGTCTTGTTGTCAATGGTGATCTCTTGGTAGGATTTGTTTTCCAGTTGGTGTACTAACTCTAGAGTTGTATACTGCTGATAAGCAGTTAAAATACATTTTTCTTATTATTTTATTTTTGTGTGAGTTTATGTGTGTATGTCAGTCTTTGTGTACCTGTGCCTGTCTGTGTTTGTATGTGTTTCATTTTGTGTTCAGCTTCAATTAAACAAAAAGGTGTGTGTGTGTGTGTGTGTCTATATATAAATGTATGTATGCATATAATATGTATGTGTATTTTTGTGTGTTTTTTTTTTGTTTTTATAAAGAAAATAATGTAACGTGAAAGGTGCATAGTGGTGAAGCATTAGTCATACAGAAAGTAATGCCTGCTTGGAGTCCAAGAGAAAATAAATGGCTTGACTTTTGGTCTTGACGTTTATGGCTCCAGGAACACACGAGGGAAGATTAATGTCTGTAATTCCATTTTTTTTTCTTTAGGGTCGAATTTTGGGCACCTGTAAAAAAAAACAGGACAAGATCTCACTTTTTAACAGACTAGCGGATAAATATTTCAAGAGAGAGCAAACTCAGTACCAAAGTGAGGAGAACCTGAAGGAATGGGCATTTGTAGATTTGGCATCCCAGTGTCAAGCTGTTATCTGCTGCCGGGTCACACCGAAACAAAAATCTATGGTTGTTCAGCTTGTAAAGAGATACAAACAGGTTACCACCTTGGCCATTGGAGATGGGGCCAATGATGTCAACATGATAAAAAGTAAGATAGAACTAAAAGATTACGCATACCTTTTAAAGAAATCTTGTGTATAAGGAATATTAGCTACAGATATTTCCCTCAATTTATCTTAATTTGCACCAAATAGCTAGTATGTTATATATTAAGGACCCTTAGGAGTACGAATTAAGTGGAAAAATTTGGTAAATTAATATGACGTACCAAAGTAAAAAGAGTGTTTTCACTGTCTACCTTTTATTCCAAATCACTCCGGTCTCACTATGTCTGGCTCCTCCTGGCTCCACCAGATCATCAGTCTTTATTTAAATTCACATTAAAGTAACACCAGGCACCAAAACAACGTTATCTAAATTAAGTTGTTATGGTGCCAGGAGACCCCCGGAGCCTGGAGTGATCCTTTAAGGTTTTTTCATGCTGCAGATGCAAGACAGTGCATTACATTATCTACTTTTTTTGTACTACTGGCCAGAGATGTACTAATCAGTAGAGATGTGTATTGTGGATGCCTGTTACTGATTCCAGCTTGGTCTAGTCTCAGATTGAGAAGTAGAGCTTGTTAGTGGTCAACAGCGATGTCACTTTTTTTACTTTTCCAGAACATGAGAAAACCTCATGCAGTAAAAGGCAGACAAAATAAGCATCTCAGTCATCTAGTTGCTAACTCCAAAGTGAGGAGAATCTGAGATAATGAACATTTGTAGATTTGGCATTCCAATGTAAAGCTGTTATCAACTGGAGGAGGAGAACACTACAATAAAAAGATAAAGTACCTTCTAAACTAGTATAAATTATAAGCTACAGATACCTGGTACATAATTTAGGTCTCACCATATGTATATACTATACACACAGTGATAGAAGTTGAAATTGCTTTCAGTAATGCATTGCATTTAATTCTTATGTAGTAAATTTTTAGAAAATGTATTTTCATATCATGGGTGCAGGAAACCGAATACAAAACAAAGTATATTAGCTATGGGATCCCCCAAAATAACTGCCATAGTCTTTTACATTATCTAAATTGGTTTTGAGTCATGGCCTGTAGAACGTGGGTTTCTGATTTACCTTATTAATGAAATATGTTTTTTTTTTTCTTTTTTTTTTAATTCTTTATTTTTACTCAACAGACATAGCAAGTGAGCATCAACTTTTGGGCTTACGCAGAAGCCAATTTGAATATAATTTTTGGTATTGTCATGCAGTTCAAACAATACAATACATGCCCATTCTTGATGAAACCATTAGGGTCTGCCGTCCATTAAGGGTTTTTATATATGTAATATAATTCCCCATTGTTTCGGCTCGACAGGAGTAATCAAATGTGCATTAGTAATGTCGCTTGCGCAGAAGCAAACTTTGGTATTACATTTAAGTGTATAATATGTTCCATTTGAACCTTGTGGTATTTTTCTTGACATCTTTAACGTCAGTTTCCCATTGATAGTTTTATATTTTTCAGGCTTCTAGGTATATCAATAGGAGTCCTAGTCCAAGATCTGTATTATATTTCTAGGTCTCCCATTTCCTTCGTTATGTTGACCATGCCTGAAGGGGTTTATATACGAAATATATATTAAATCAGGAAAGGAATCTTCCCGTTAGGAGTCGGGAAGTGAGAGAAAGGAGAGTAGAGAGAGAGAGAGAGACTGAGTAGATAGTACGAAAGAAAAGAAAATAAGAGAATGGGTGCAGCATCCGGGAAGCGGCGAGAGAGAGGCTAGGGGGCGAGAGCCGGGGGGACAAAGGGCACTTCCAGGACCCCTTATGCCATGCGTGATGACTTTATCCCCCGGTAGGAGGGGAACCCCCATTACTAGGTCACCTTTACTTCTCCATTTCAGTCTTATCTGTCTTCCCTGGATCCCACTACACTATTATCCCATGGCTCCCAAAGTCTTAGAAATGTTTCTGTCGATCCCTTCACTCTTGCTGTCAGGTCGTCCATTATCCTACATTCGCGGATCCTGGATATCACTCCCGAAAACTCTGGCCCGTCTGGTGATATTGTTCCTCGCGCGCTTAGAGTTATTTTATGGATTAGTTTCTGCTCCCTCCTGGTCCATCCGTCTATAGACCTATTTAGTAGGTATACCCACGGATCCCTGGCTAGGGGCCTGTTAAATATTTGTTTCAGTAGATCTTCAACTGCTTTCCAAAATCTAACAATTTTCGGGCATTCCCACCACATGTGGAGGTAATCCAGCAATCATCTGTATCCATTTTGTGCATTTTATATAATTTTACGGGAGTGGTATACCATCTAAGCATGGTTTTCCACGTCTGTTCTTGTAGCGTGACACATATAGAAGCGTTTTTATTTGCTTCCCATATTTCTTGCCATTCAATTCCTTCTAGCTCTTCTCCCAGTTCTGTTTCCCATTGGTTGGTATAAGCAAGCCGTCCCCATTCTTTGGTTTCTGTGCTAAGGTGAGCGTACATCAGTGTTATCATGCCCTTGGGGGCCATCCCGTCTAGGCATAGTTTTTCATAGAAAGTCATTCCTCCCTGAGCTGCTGCCTTTATGTGTGGTTTCCATGCAAACAGGGGCGTACCTAGAGCATTTGGCACCCGGGGCGGATACTGTGCTTGGCACCCCCCCAAAAAAAAAACCTGTAAAAAATGTTAAAGGTTTTCTTTAATTAATCCACACTCCTTAATTAAACCATACCCCTTAATTAATCCACCCCGCTTAATTGATACACACACCCTTAATTAATCCACACTAATTAATCCACCCCCTTAATTAATCCACTCCCCCATAATTAATCCACTCCCCCATAATTAATCCACACTAATTAATCCACCCCCCATAATTAATCCATCCCCCCTTAATTAATACACCCCACTTAATACACCCCCATAATTAATCCCCCCTTAATTAATCCACCCCCCTTAATTAATCCACTACCCATAAATAATCCACCCCCCCTTAATTAATACACCCCATAATTAATCCACCCCCCAAATAATTAAATCCACCCCCCACTATAATTAATCCACACATAATTAATACATCCCAATAATTAATCCACTAAAATTGATACACCCCCATAATTAATATACACCCCCCATAATTAATACTCCCCATAATTAATACACCCCATAATTAATACACCCCCCCTCCTTTCTCACCCCCCTTTCTCCTCTCTCACCCCCTCTTTCTCCCCCCTTTCTCCTCTTTCTCCCCCCCTTTCTCCTCTTTCTCCCCCCCTCCCCTTTCTCATCCCCTTTCTCCTCTTTCTCATCCCCCCTTTCTCCTCTCTCATCCCCTTTCTCCTCCCCTTTCTCCTCTTTCTCCCCCTTCTTCTCTTTCTCACCCCCCTCCCCTTTCTCATCCCCTTCCCCCTTTCTCATCCCCCTTTCTCCTCCCCCCTTTCTCCTCCCCCCCTTCTTCCTCTATCCCCCCCCTTTCTCCTCTTTCTCATCCCCTTCTCCTCTTTCTCATCCCCTTTCTCCTCTTTCATAATCCCCTTTGTCCTCTTTCTCATCCCCCCCTTTCTCCTCTTTCTCATCCCCCCCACTTTCTCCTCTTTCTCACCCCCCCCCTGTATAGTCGGCGGGTACAGGTAGCTTTTGTTTCCTGTACCCGGACGGACTAACAGGAAGTGCACACACTGTGTGCACTTCCTGTTAGTCCGGTCGGGTACAGGAGACAGATGCTCCCTGTACCCGCCGACTATACAGGGCTCGGCCACGCTACAGGGAGGGAGTGACAGGAGGGAGCGCTGAGCGCTTCCCTCCTGTCAGCCTCTCCTCAGGCTGCGCCCGGGTGGTGCGGTCCGCCCTCATGGATGCACCGCCCGGGCAAAGCTGCAGCCGCCTAAGGCTCACTACAGAGCGCTCGGTCGGTTGCAGCATGGGGGGGGGCCGGCGGGGCTGGTCATGGCACCCCCCACCCTGGTGGCACCCGGGGCGGACCGCCCCCTCCGCCCCCCCCTTAGTACGCCACTGCATGCAAAGTCTCGGATCTGAATATATCTTACAATCGATCTTGTCCTCCTCTTCACGGGGACCTCGGTGTTCCGTCTCTTGTGCTCCTGTCCACTGCCGGGCACGGGACGGCGTTGAAGTCCCCTGCCACATAGGTCATGCCATGCGGGAGTGATGAGATTTTCTCCCGGAGCGTGTTCCAGAACGAGGGGTCCGGTTGGTTCGGAGCATACATGTTAATCAGGTGAATGGTATGCGAGTATAAAATGCCCGAGATGATAACGTATCGGCCTTCTGGGTCTGTTTCCTGGGCCATGTTTTGTTTTTTCATTTGATTTTGCTTAATGATAGTAGCACTACTACTTACATAATCTAGTAGTTAAAGGGCCACTATAGACATCAGAACAACGTTAGCTTAATGGAGTGGTTTTGGTGTTCAAATTTCTGTCATTTAAGAGTTAAATTACTTTGTTTATGCAGCCCTATCACAAGTACCTGCATGTGACTTACACAGTCTTCCTACATACTTCCTGTAAAGAGAGCTCTAATATTTAAATGTCATTTATTGCACATTGTGTTTAATTTAGAATTTATTATCTTCTGCTCAGGTAACAATGAGAAAGAAAGAAAGAAAAACGCCTAAACGTCTAATTGAGAGTTAAATATATTTTTTATGCTGGATGTGTCAGTCACAGCCAGGGGATGCATAAACAGAAACAAATGTGATTTAACTTCCAAATAGAGAATTGATCAGTATAGGGCATGATCTATACACCAAAACAGATTCATTAAGCTAAAGTTGTTTTGGTGCATACAGTATCCCTGATAAGCAACATAAACAGGAGGCTCTGCAGTGGGCCTGTTATTGTTCAATTTCTTATTGTACCCCTGTTAAACTAAAGGCAAACCTGGCCATCTGGTGAATAATTCCTATTTTCACTGTTAAATAAAATAATTATCTACTGCTCAAATCAAAAGCTACTCCTGCTCAGAACCCTATCTTCCTTTCTCTCTTAGCTGCCGATATTGGAGTTGGAATAAGTGGTCTAGAAGGAACACAAGCTGTCCAGTCCAGTGACTATGCATTGGCTCAGTTTTGCTACCTTCAACGTCTTCTCTTTGTCCATGGACGGTGGTCTTACCTCCGCATTGCCAAGTTCTTACGTTATTTCTTCTACAAAACCTTTGCCAGTGTCCTCAACAATGTGTGGTTTGCCTTTTTCAATGGATTCACAGCTCTGGTAAATAAATTCTATGTAATCACATCATTTTAATTAAAATATACAATTTGTATATATTAATATTCAAATTAAACATTCTATGATGTAATGTGATACTTCTGCAAAAGCAGAAAATTCAATTTTGTACTTTGATATAATGTTCAAAAAGTGGTTTAAAAAAGTCAAATGTGTTCAACCTTTTTTCCTAAATTCAACAAACCCAGTTGCTGAAATGAATCTGGATAAAACATGTTCCAAACTATGGAAATGTTTATAATCGAATCATGCTCTCGGGGCAATTTACTAAAGAGCAGATTTGCAAATTCAGGCAAAATTTCAGTTGAACTTATTTCCCTCAGTTTTACCTGAAATTCACTATATTTACTAACCGCTGAATATGACCAAACTGGCTCTGCCAGATTAATTTGAATTTATCAGGATTGTATATGAAGGATTGATGAATCTTTAAAGTAATTGCTCAATAATCAATTTCCAAACTAGCATCAGCAAGAACAAAGAACGTAATATACACGTATCAGCCACAACATTAAAACCACCTGCCTAATATTGTGTAGATCCATCTTGTTTTGTTAAACAGCTCTGATATGTGTAGGCATGGACTCCACAAGACTTTTGAATGTGTCCTGTGGTATTTGGTATAAGACAAGACTACAAGATGCGAGGTGGGACCTCCATGGATTGGATTTGTTGCTCCAGCACATACCACAGGAGCTCATTTGGATTAAAATCTGGAAAATTTTGAGACCAACTCAGCACTTTGAACTCTTTGTTATGTTCCTCAAACCATTCCTGAACCATTTTTGCAGTTTGGCAAGGTGAAAGAGGTCACTACCATCAGGGAACACCATTGCCATGAATGAATTTATGTGGTCATGGTAGGTGGTGTGATAAACTCACTATTTATCATGTTCTAAAGACATTTCCCTCCTAGTTCGGGTTATCAATCTACCGAACACCGACCACCCCTCTGGCACATTAACTACAAACTAACCACAAACTTAAGTTCTTTCTCTGTGTGGCCTCCATTCGTCTAACTGAACAACACGTGCTGTGGAAAACAGCGGCCATCTTGTCTCCCGAACACAGACAGTGGCACTTGGTCGTCGAGCTTATGGAACTCAAAGTTGGATACATCCACTTGAGAACCTTGGTAATCTTGCGTCGACGCCTGCTTCTGTTTCCGACAAGACAAGAGAGCGCTGTTCGGTAGGATTGTTCGCCAGAACTAGGTGAACAATGGCTACCTATGAGCCAAGGGAACTGTTCATCACTTTGTTCATTTTGGAGCTCCCGAAAGTGACCGACCACTACCACTTTTTCTCTGGAACTAATTTCCGAGGATATAATATTTGTGTTATGTGTATTTTGGTGTTTTTTGCATAATATTTTATACCTCTAGTGCCTGGGAGATAATTAGGTTAAGCAAAAGCACTAAAGCAGGCTCTCTTATCTCCCAAACACAGAGGCGCCTGGGTGGGCTTACTGTGCAAGTGAATGGAGTTCCCTGCTGGGGGCCTGTGTATATAAACAGGCCACTGGGCCATAATAAAACATTCTTCTTGTACCCTTCATCAAATCTTGGCTAATGTTTGGGTATACCAGAGCTATAATCACTATTTCACCTGGGGACTCAGGAGATTTACAATGGATATACTCAGTCAGAGTATAGGAGATCCATTACAGGTGGGACGTGTCAAAGTAACATCCTCATGAATCCCAGGACCCAAGGTTTCCCAGGACAACTTTGCCTCTGCCAGCCTGCTTTCTTCTCATGAAATCTCTTCCCCAGGTAAACAAATCACACACCTGGCCATCCACCTGATCTAATAAAAAATGTGATTCATCAGACCGGGTACCCTACATCCATTGCTCCGTGGTCCAATTCTAATGCACACTTCCCCATTGAAGGTGCTTCCGGCAGTGGACAGGGGTCATCAGGGACAATCTGACCAGTCTGCGGCTGCAATGTACTGTGTGTTCTGACACCTTTTCATCATGGCCTGTATTACATTTCAGAAATTTCAGATATTTGAACTACAGTAGCTCTTCTGTGGGATCGGACCAGATGAGCTAGCCTTCACTCCCCATGTTCATCAATGAGCCTTGGATACCCTTAACCTTGGTATTAGTTTACCGGGTGTCCTTCCTTGCACCACTTTTGGTAGGTACTAACTACTGCAACCCAGGAGCAGCCCACAAGACCTGCCGTTTTGGAGATGCTCTGACCCAGTCGTCTATCCATTACTATTTGGCCCTTGTTAAAGTCCCTCAGATCTTTTTGCTTGGCTATTTGGCCTGCTTCCAACACATGAAATTCAAAACTACCTGTTCACTTGCTCCCTAATATACCCCACCCCTTGACAGGTGTCATTGTAACAATATAATCAATGGTATTCACTTCACCTGTCAGTGGTTTTTAATGTTGTGGCTGATCAGTGTATATACATGCTGTATGGAACCCAAATTAACCTCTTGTTCTCAGGTACAAGCTAAAGTGTGGTTCATCAGCTCTAATAAAAATATTGGAACCGCTGTCCATGACTCAAAAAAGCAAACTATTGCTGTTGATATGACTGTTTTCCTATGAGATTTCCATACAATGTTCATGTCCTTAGTCTTTTGGAAAACTTGGGTTTTATTGCATATGTTTAAAAAAAAAAAACCCATTACTTTCTTATTATTAGTGTTCAGTGACAAAGTGGTTAGAGTAGTATAGGTGCTTTATAAAAGACCGAATTAGAAACTTTTGTTCATCCCTTGTTCCTTTCTAAGTGGAGAGAGAATATCAGTATTTTGTTCTCCTGTAGCCCATGGATCAGCGCAGCTAAGAGGAATAGGCCTTGACAGAGCCAGGAGGTAGGCATAGCAGCCACAGGACGTTAGTGACAGCTAGCATGCTGGGTAGGGCGGAGCCATAAGGGGAGTATTTATACCAGCCATTATATGAAGGGGCCATTTTAACTGAACCTAAACTTACCTGTCAGTTGTCCCTCCCACCCTCCCTGTATTTGGTTAGGTTAGTTGATTTCCCGTTTTTTCACAGTGGCGGAGAATGTCCTGGTTAAATCGAAGGGTAGATGGAGGAGAAAGTGGGCATCCTGAGGTTTAGTGTGGATTGGGCAGTGTTGCACGTGGTTGGTAGGTTCGAGCCCGTCGGTGGCTCCGAACCTGGGGATGTGGTGGTGTCTTGGTACACCCTACACTGGAACTGGTGGGTAGCGGTGTCTTGGTACACCATTACAATGGATATGGTGGGTAGCGGTATCTTGGTACACCCCTACAATCGATATGGTGGGTAGCGGTGTCTCGGTACACCCCTACAATTTAACCTGTTGGAAATGTGGTCATATTGGGCGGCCAGTTTCTATATTAACATGTTATTTAGATTGTTATCTATTTTATTATTGTGGGGTCATTGCTAGGGGTATGTTATGTATATGGGGCATGTTAACTTTAATAAGATTTGTTGGCAATGACCCCATTTGTTATTCCTTAAAGGGACATTATAGTCACACAGACCACTTCAGCTCAATGAAGTGGTCTGGGTGCCAGGTCCCTCAGGGTACTAAAGTGTTCCCTTAATTATTTTATTAAAAATGTAATAAAGCTGTGGACTAATTATTTCCAACAGTATAACCTGTGTCCGTGTTTTAATGGTGGTTTGGGTAAGGTTAGCGCATATGCCGGCAAATCCGACTGTGCATCTGTCAAGTCCCATGACAATGTAAAACCATTGACATGTCATTATTTGTAAGTCGCAGTTGCAAATATACTGGTCCGGTTCAGATTCTTTTTCCCATCACTTTGAGACTCATCGCTGCAGCATTGAATATTGTAATATTATGACAGATGGGCAGGTTGTACATATATACTGAGGCTTTAGGATTTATTTTCTTGTTTTACTTTTAAAGTAAAGCCAGATTTGGGGAGAAACTTTAAAATTGTGTTAGCACACAGAAGTCCTTGAGGCAAACATTATTTCCTTTCACATTATTTTACATTGAATCCAAATGAAATTTGGTATTTAGAAATGTAGATATTCCTTATTGTTACATATGCTTGTGGTGTAAAACCATTAATTCATTTAACAAACCATCTAACATCATCAATCTCATGTTGACTAAATCTATGGTATTGCTATATATTTTTTTAAACGTAACAATCTGTGCTTTTGTCTAACTACCTTCCCTTCTGGCTAGAAAAATCTATTCTTATATTCATATTAATGTGTCAATTAACAACATTTTAAGTTTTATCAAATTTTTTATGACATATGATAAACAGAAGGCTTTGAATTCTTAAGGTGAAATTCAAATCTTGGTTCTATTTTGGCAGAAACGCTTACCAAATGAAAATCATGTGGTTCACTCAAATCCAAATCTAGCTACATCTTAGATTACTGCTTGGTTTTAAGTGTTGAGATAAAATTCTAAAGGCACAAATATGATCAAATTAACAGTTTCTTTTCTTTGTCATTTAGATGGTGTATGACAGCTGGTTCATAGCATTTTATTCTGTAAATTTCACAGCGTATCCAGTGCTATCGCTTGGATTATTTGAACAGGTACGTCTTCTAATGGATCGTTTCAGATTTGAGAAGTTAGAAACAGAATAACATCATCAGTCATTATCTGTCATTACATATTTCTCACTCCTTTTAGTTATGACCTCCTGGCCTTCATACATTTAAGACAGGTCAAAATCCTTAAAGGACCACTTCACACCCATAAAGCACTTTAGAAACTAGCACTTTTATAATTAAATTGTGAAATACCCCAATGGCTATCAATCAGACCGCTATGGCGGTTTGCTTCCTTCCTCCTCCCATTAGCTCCCCTGAATAACGGAAGTGGCAGGCGGGCTCTACTTAAAGCCATCTGCCTTCTCTCCCATTGCTCCTCTATAGATCTCACAGAGGCATTCTTCAGCTCATCCACAGACCTCAGATTAGACACATGTGCACGAGCAGACGCCCGCGAGCACAGAGGGCACAGATTCAGAGGATTCTTAACAGGAAATGATTATTTTCCCATGAAGAGCCTGAAACTCTCTTCCAGAGAAAGAGGCATTCAGAAGAACTGCAGCTTTTGCAAGCTCTTTAAGATATACCTCCTATGTCTACATGCATAATTAAATGTATGCATGTATGTTTTGTGGGGTACATCTACTAAAATGTGATCTATCAATTTATCATTATTTTTAGTATGGAGTGGTAATTTAAAGCATTTTTACTGGTTGTTTTGATTCGAAAATTTGTTTGTTAGTTTTTTGACAGGCCAATATATGAAAACTTAGAATGCCTTAAAACCATATCATCTGCAATAAGCCCTCTTTAACTGCTTTGCAGACTCTCAGGGGCATCTACGTGACAGACAATGATTGTACAACAATGAATATATATATAGCCAGAGGTTGACAGGAACTTTTTACCCATAGAGTCCCCTTTCATCTCCATCCAATAAGTAGGGAGTGGTTTGCTGCATTAAACAAACAAAGAAACCCTGTGTGAACGCTGCTTGAGATGAGGGAATCTCATCTACAGCTTTGCTCCTTAGAGCATCGGATTATTGTCCCAAGTTAGTCAACCAACTCCTTCCAATCCCCGGAGGACCTGGAGGCCTCTACTCCCAACCCAATGTGAGGATTGGTAAAAAGAATAGTATAGTTGGTGAGTGCTAGCACAATATACACTCACAGACCACGCTACTAGGACCCATTGGTCACTGAAAAAGTAGTTTTAGAGAAGTCACTCATAGGACATTGGGCCTAGATAAACCCTAATCCATACTATAAGGAGACATCTTTACAGTGATATATGTACTCAATGGAAGCTCCCACACCAGCCCTATTACAGAGGGTTTATTAATTATTCAGCACTCCTGAGGTATATTGCTCCCCCGTACAAAGTTTGAGGGGAGACTTTTCATATAGCCTTTCTGGTTTCATAGAGGGTTCTGGAACCTTCCTTTTTGTTATTTTCCCCGCCTTGCACACAGGATTGGAAATGAGAGAGGACACTTTTTGGGGGGGTTCCTTTTTGTTTTGGAACATTCAGCATTAGTTTTATTCCTTTTAGTGCAACAGATTAGGGTGGTGACATGCTGCACCCGGCATTAATGATCAGATAATTAGTAAAATTAGGTTATTTTTTTTGCAGGGGCAGCTAAAGTTGTATTTTTGTAGCAATTGATGTATTTTTTTTGTCTTTTTTTACATCTTCTATTTTTACTCTCAGGATGTGAGTGCAAAAGTGAGCCTGAAGCTGCCTGAATTGTACAAAGTGGGGCAAATCGGTTCTCTCTTCACCTACAAGTTGTTTTGCTGGTCGCTTTTGAAAGGAATCATGACATCATTGGCAACATTTTTCATTACATATGGGGCGTTTGTAGATGCTGCTGGTCCCGATGGTATCTGTGATTACCAGTCATTTGCAGTAACACTGGCCACGTCTGTCCTCCTGGCTGTCACTTTGGAGGTAAAATTATTAGCCTTAGCACAAGTTTCATTTAAAATTTAAATAACACAGGCACTCTGAGTAGTGACAGATATTTATAAGTCAGCGAGATAAATAAACTTGACACTGGGTAGAAATATTTCTACCCTTCTAGAAAAAAAACACATCAGCCATGCATGATTGTCAAAGGAGCTGTGTGCCACCAAAGGAAACCAAAATAGCAGGAAGACAGGATATTTAGAACGGTACCAGGGTAATTGCTTCACAACAAGCAAAAGTTAATGGACAAATGTTACCTCAAACCTATTTTTCTATTATAATTATCTTTCATCAAGTTTTGATTGAAGTTTTTAATCAAGTCTATGTAAAAACAAATGCATCCATAAATGCATTATATTACTGGATCCTTGAGTCATATACATACACCTTTTGTCTACAGTGTTTGAAAACCAACAGCTAGTCTCTATGGTCTTCCCTGCTGCTGTGCAGGGAGTTAAGAAGGAAAGACCACATAAACTAAATCTTGGTTTTCAAACACTGTTTGACCCAAGATGCATGTATACGGCTGAAGGATCCTGTCATATACTAGGTAGGAGAACTGGGTGAAAGTGTTGTGGTCAGATGAGACCAAAATCGAGCTCTTTGGCATTAATTCAACTCGTCGTGTTTGGAGGAGGAGGAGGAGGAGGAATGCTACCTTTGACCCCAAGAACACCATCCCCACCGTCAAACATGGAGGTGGAAACATTATGCTTTTGGGGTGTTTTTCTGCTAAGGGAACTCTCACTGTTAAAATACACCTACCATTAAAATTATAGACTGACCATTTCTTTGTCAGTGGCCAAACGTTCAAAATCAGCAGGGGAAAAAATACTTTTTTCCCCTCACTGTATATATATGTGTGTGTATATATATATATATATATATATATATATATATATATGTATAGCCACTCTCATTTACCCAGCTGGAATAATAACCTGGCCAAGAGCTGGTCACCATGGATGTGAAGACCTGGAAACTACTCACTATGAATGGAGGATTCCACCCGAAATCCAGCACCCAGAGACTGTAAACCAGCCGCAGGAAAAGAGGCTGGGGCCCGCTGAGTGTCAAGGCCACAGTCCTGGTTGAAACACAGAGCATCCACAAGTATATCACAAAGATTGCTTCCAAAGACAACAAGAGATAGAGCATGCAGAGTAGTTCCATAGCAAGACAAACCTCTCTATGGCAGATAGTGCATGTGGCTCATATTACTAAATCTTATGAGTGGTTGGGAAATGCAGGACTGAAAGACAACACTGTTGCTCTAATTCTAGCAGCACACGAACAATCACTCAGCACCAAATCATTAGAAGCGAGGGTCTACCACATCAGGTAGACTGTGCAAATAGGACTCTGAGACAATCCAGCACATAGTAGCTGAGTGCAAGATCTTAGCATGAACAGCATACATTGAGAGGCACAACCAAGTTGCTGGGATTGTGTACCAAAATATATGCACATGATATGGGCTGGCCCTGCCTAAGTCCAGATAGGAAATACCACAATAGGTTGTTGAGAATGACAAGGCTAAGATCCCGTGGGACTTTCTGATCCAGACAGTTTTAAAGATGCTCTGACCCAGTCGTCTAGCCATCACTGTTTGAATCTTGTCAAAGTCACTCAGGTCTTTTCACATGCCCATGTTTCCGGCTTCCAACACATGAAATTCAAGAACTGACCGTTCACTTGCTGCTAATTATATCCCACACTTTGAGAGGTGCTATTGTCACGATATAATCAACGTTATTCATTTCACCTGTCAGTAGTTTTAATGTTGTGACTGATCAGTGTGTATATATAATTTAGAAATTTCCTTTCAAAACTCGATGAATAGATTATTATATTAAATATAGTTTTGAGGTCACAATTGTCCTTTTAATGTTGACATTTGTACACAGGTAAAGGAGTATTGATGATTCAATTGCACCAGCATAAAATAGAGGTACATTCCTATGTATTGTTTGATAATTAGCAACATGTTGACGGGTGATGAGCCATTAATGATGCTGAAGCCATCAAAATCACACTTTTATTATCCTTTTCAACAACATCTTACTATTATCAATTCAGTAGCAAAGGATCCTACACCTTATATTTTAAACAGTGACACTTCACACGATCACAGTCCTTCCTAGGAAGATGTATCAGTATATTAATGGAATCATTGGAGACTCTGAAAATTCCTTTTTGTTGTTGAATTCACTAACATAAAACCAATACCCAGGAACTTTTTTAAGTGTATATAGTTTTAATTCTGCTTGTGTGTAAACAACCCCTACCCAAGCTGATGATGTTTGCAAACCATTTCACCAAACTTATAGTAAGGTTACTTGTTAAGCTAGTAAAGTACAGATCAGCAATGTAACAACAAAATAACATAGCAAAATTGATAAGAAAACATATACACATGTACACAATATCCAAGTACTCTATTTGAATATACAACAAAAACATAAAACAAAATAAATATAATAGCATATCAATGCATTTTTTTGCACACAACAGGTTAATAACACACGTTACCTTTTATCATCACTACTGACCTATAAAATGGGTCAAAGTGGCAGGTCAGATCTTTCCAACATGGACCCTTTTTGTTTGTTATTAACCTCATGACCTCTGAACATCGATATAGCATTACTGGCTAAAAAAACTGTTGTGACGTTTTTGGATTGTGATCAGCTGAAAAAAACACTTGTGCAATGCTGTCTGAAAGTCAGAAAATGTTATTGATCAAATACTGATGCTGGATTGTAATTTATCCCATAAATGCTTAAATTTATCCCATAAATGCTTATTTCGGCCAGGATTCAGGGGATGCACAGTGGCAATTGCTCTCATAGACAAAGCCGAGTACCATGTCATTTACCATGCCTACATATTTATATTTACTGCTTAAGAGAAGGCAATTATTCGACTTTCTTCCTCCTTCTAACAAGTCGGCAGTGCAGAAGCTGTTAGAGGTGAATGGGCAGGAATATGTGACACCATCACTAAAACCCTGCACAACCTCTTCTAATGCTTGAATATGAGATTCAGCTTGCTAATCTATTAACATAGAGGAGAGCCTCCAAACAGCACATCTAGATAATATTGGCTTTTCTGGCTTTGACTCATGGCATTCCCTTTGACTATGCATCCTCTGTATCTCTGACCTCAACTTGTCCTATCATATTGCTGCCATTCTGTTAGCCCTTGACCTCAACTTGTCTCTGACTATTCTTTCCTTCTACAGGCCTATCTCTATCACTTTACTGTAAAGTGTTAAAGGGACATTATAGTCATTGAACAACTACAGCGTAATGTAATTGTTCTGGTGACTATAATCATTGCCTGTGGGCATAAAGAGAAGAGGCAGTGTTTACATTGCCCCCTAGGGACACTTCCAAGTTGCCACTTCTCAGATGTCCACTGGAGGTGCTTCCTGTGGCAGTGCTGCACAGTAGGCAGCACTGCCGTTTAGCATCTCCACACTCTGCATGGAGACACTGAATTTTTCTCTATGAGGAGTATGATTGTCCAAAATGGATTTTGACCCTATAGTGTTCCTTTAATTACAAGACGATGTCTTTATTTATATTACCCTTTCCATTTTCTGTATATAATAAAGAATAACTTTTAAGATTTATTTGTTAAACAATCAGTTTGGGTGAATTGAAAATTGCAAATTGTAGGCCAAAATTTTAGAGTTGTAAGCTGTTTAAGCGTAAGGTTTGCAATGTGATTTTGCTAATCCAAATCCTTTCACACTACAAAGAAATCATTGCTTAGTAAATAAGCCCAATGATGGCCTTGATTACATTTCCGCCATTAATGTTTATTGACAGTTTATCGAACCTGATTAGTCTGGTAATGGTTCAAAACTATTTAATTGCTACTATTAGCAGCTTATATGGAGAGAGGAAATGTCTATTCGAATAATAATTATTTTCTGAAAATATCAAAGTTGATATTATAATTAGCATTGGAAATATAAGTTTCAGCAATTCAATTCTATCTATCAAGGACATAATCCTTGTAAATATCTACAGCAAACGGTTGTTGATAAATGCATTTTTTGTCTATTAGCACTAGCAGCCAGCAGGCAAATAGTTTTTTTTTTTTTTAAAAGCATGTGGGTATCAATATGACCCCCATTAACACAATGGAGATTCAACAACTCACACATGCTCCACTCCGCCACTAAAATGTAATCAAATTTTGCACTTTTATAAATTAACCTTGTTATATCCCCCTTGCTGTCAATCAGACATTCGGACCTGTTACTTCCTGGTTTGATTATCTCAGTGGAGCCAAACTCAAGAGGCAGCAAATGCCCAGATAACCTGCCTTGCAAAGTCTTCTCATTGAACTGCATTGGGAAGTCTGTGATAGAACAGTCACAGAAAACCTGGGCAGGTTAGAAGAGGAGGACTTGCACAGGCAGCAGACAAGAGATCTCTAGGTTTTGCAAGCTGTTTTTAGATCTGCCCATAATGAAAAAAAAGCTTAATTTAATGCATGCATGTTATCATTTGGGGAATATCTAATTCTCAATGATTTTTAATTTTATTGGATATTGGCAATAGAGTGTCCCTTTAAGGAAGATTGGATTCAGTTGCATCATTATTAATGTTGTCTTCAATCCATGTGAAATAATACATTATATTTGTTTGCAACAAGAATATTACAGATTATGTACTGAATGACAGTACCTTCCTATAATGGGATTCCTACAATAGATTGACTCATTAAAAAGTGATTTATAATTGTCAGCTATGGTTCCCCCAATAACATGACCTATAAGACGTGGAACCATTGCATTTGCAATTTCCTGTGTGTGTTTATTATGGCCATTTAACCTATGACAATTTTATCATTCTCCTTTTCCCTGTCAATGTACATATTCCATTCATCTACAAATATTATTTTCATGTCTTATATTGCCACCTACCGGAATTTTATCTAAAGAGACGTGGAATTTTTTTTTATTATAAAGAACGCTTGGTTGGTACATGTATAAAGCACATAAATGACACATGCATACTGCGTTATGCTCGGTTCCATAAACAATAAGCCAACGCAAGACTGGAGATAGGCGATGTTCCTAGAATAATAATGTAATGCTTATTCCTCTGAGGAATAGGAGTTATTATATTAAATGTGTAATCAATACTTTGCTACCCTCTTCCCAGAGGAATTGCAATTATTTCTGTGTAAATGTGATCTGTATTGAGTAATGTGCATTGTAGCGAGAAAAAATAAAAATAAAATAGGGTAAAATTTTGATAATTCAAAATAAAAGAAATGTACAATTTCCCCAAATGATTGTTACATTTTTCTGTATGTGTAACAGCAAGTGGATGCACTTTATATGTTTTACAATGCTGCCCCTACCAGGACAAGTTTAAAAATGCACATCAGAGTATAACGCTAACGTTTTGTTTCCAGTTTTAAATACGGGTCCTCAGATTGTTAATGAAATCCCATTTCTTATATAGCTTTAGGAAAGTTACATATAATGATGCATAATTAATGATGGACATTGCATTCAAACATGATATCTCATGATGAACAACATTGTGAATCATGTTGTACATGCAATGATTTTCCAATGTTACTATTCATGAGCAGCTTTTGAAAAAGAAAAAAAAAACTGAAAAATAATTTCTATTTGAAAATCCCTCAGAGTGCACCTTCATTCCTTCAATTATATATAAAATTGTAAAAAAAAATTACATTAGTAACAGGTGATTTTTAAGGCAAAATGGATGCTGTTTTGGAGCAAAAATGCAAAATAAGGAACAATCGTCTATATCAGTGGTACCCAACCCAGTCCTCATGTACCCCATAACAGTCCAGGGTTTAGGGATTACCCAGTTGTGTCTAAGGTATTTTTAGAAAGAAAAAAAAAGACACAGTAGGGTAATCCCTAAATCCTGGACTGTTAGGAGGTACTATAGGACTGGTTTGGGAACCACTGATTTAGGAAACTATTAGAATATTTTAAGATGAAGCACTTTAGCTACTCATTACCAGCTTCTGCTAACCCAGAAATTTTTAACACCAGATTCTGGGCTGGTGGAAAAATGTTACCGACAGTTAAAGCCCTATACATCCAATTGAAACAAAGAAATGTTGTGCCAACTCTGTTGCCACTTTTTACTGGCCAGCCATTACCTGCCTATTGCTACTTGTCACATAGGGTGAAGTGCGCGATCTCAGGTGAGTGTTTCTGTGCATTACCAGTAAGCCACTAATATGTGAGTGACTGGTATCCATATCAGCAACTGTTAGTTGCAAAGAGTGAGATCTTGGTTGGCTCTCATTTTGCTGTTAAAACAGGTCTTTATTATTATCAATCATGCAGGATTTTTTTTCACATTTTATTTGTAATCCAACAGATCGCCTTTGAGATCTCATACTGGACAATCCTATCAGGACTTGCCGTTCTCATCAGTCCAGTATCTTATTTCCTGCTTTCACTTTTAATGCAAACAAATCCACTTTTCAAAGCCTTGCCAACAGTATTTCCATATGTAGGTAAGTAAGCTAATGAAATATGATTTTTATTGTGAAAGTTTAATTGATTACAGTAACTTCCATTAAAGGGAGCCTACGTAGGACTATATGTTTCCTGCTATTACCGTGACCTCTGATCATCCTCTTGTGAATAGAAAAATTCGATTTAAATATGTTTGAGTTACATTGTTTAAACTAGAACCAGAATCTCCTTTTGGGAGAGTGTGTGTCACAAAAAGGTGCTTATAGTGAAATAGTGTATAGCAGCTCAGTACACTAGTGTGGATTACCCTTTATTCCACACACAATTTAACACAAAGACAAAATTGGTATACGATATACATATACGTTAAAGGACCACTATAGTGCCAGGAAAACATACCCTCAGGGTCCCCCTCCCGCCCGGCTCTGGAAAGGGGTTAAAACTTACCTTTTTCCAGCGCTGGGCGGAGAGCTCTCCTCCTCCGATCCTCCTCTTCTCCTCCCATGCGGCTGAATGCGTACGCGCGGCAAGAGCTGCGCGCGCATTCAGCCGGTCACACAGGAAAGCATTCATAATGCTTTCCTATGGACGCTGGCGTGCTCTCACTGTGAAAATCACAGTGAGAAGCACGCAAGCGCCTCTAGTGGCTGTCAATGAGACAGCCACTAGAGGAAATAGGGGAAGGCTTAACCCATTCACAAACATAGCAGTTTCTCTGAAACTGCTATGTTTATGAAAAAATGGGTTAATCCTATCTGGACCTGGCACCCAGACCACTTCATTAAGCTGAAGTGGTCTGGGTGCCTAGAGTGGTCCTTTAAGTGGAGCGCTATAAGGGTTTGGGGGTTGCCCCTTAAGGTCTTGATCGAACCGTGCATGTCAAATGGATATATAGAAAAATATAGAAAGTATGGTGCAGATTGTAAAACACTGTGATAATTCAATTAAGTAGCAGAATGGATCACTCAAAATGTGTTTGTGCCATTAGGACTTTTAACTTCATATAATTGCTATTTGTTTATTTTGCTATTTATTTTAGACATTTCTTGAATAATAAATACACTAGCACTTAAAAAAGTCCATTGAAGCCTCAGGAATCTTCATTGGGGGAAGTGCCATCCCCCCTTTATTGGCACAAAGCCTGTCACCTTAAGAGCCAGGATCTTAAGGCTCTGAAAAAGGTGAGCTCAATACCTAATTTTATTAATTCACTGTATTTTTAACAACTATACTACACATTGGATACTTCTACTATTTTTATCTTTCCGGAGGAAACGCTAACAGAAAATAGTGGTGGGATGCTGCCCTAAAAAGCATACAAGCCCTGTTTACTGAGCCAATATTATAGGCTCTTTGAAATGTGAGTGATCCATTCTGCTACTTAATTGAATTATCACAGTATTTTACAATCTGCACTATATTGTACTTTTTATATTTTTTGTATATATCCACTTGACGTGCACAGTTCGATCAAGACCTTGAGGGGCAACCCCCAAACCCTTATAGCACTCCACTAAAGGTAAATGTATATCACATACCAATTTTGTCTTTACATTGTTTCCACTGTTGCACCATTCCTCTTCCACCTCTTTTTGTCCTCTCAAACGTTTGTCAAAGAGAAGCACTTGCAACAAGAAGTGCTTGGGCTGTAAGAGCCATGCTTCTCCAATAAAATGTTGTCATGTGAGGAGGTGACGTGTGAAATCTGAATCAGATTTTGCTATCACAGTGGAAGCACCTCTAGTGGCTGTCAGGTACAAAGCCACTAATGATGTGTTTGCCCGGTAATGAAAACATTGCTTTATCTACTAAACAGCAATGGTTTTTATTGCAGAACTAAAACTGCATTGTTATGAAGTGGTCTGGGTGCCAATCCTTTAATTTCTGCCAAAGGTAACATTTCTTGTTGAAGTTTATAGAACAGAGTATTTCCATGCCTCTTTGATTAACGCAGTTTTGACGAATCAGCACCTCCTCATAGAGATGCATTGAATCAATGCATGTCTATGAGGAAAGTTCTGCATCCCCATGCTGTGCAGACCTGAGCCAGGAGGCCCCTCCAGTGGCCATCTGAGGAGTGGCCACTTGGAGGTGTCCCTAGGGGCAATGTAAACACTGCCTTTTCTCTGAAAATGCCTGAAGGGCTACATTAAGCTATAGTTGCTCTGGTGACTATAGTGTCCCTTTAAGAACACATTACAGGTGCATACTTTTAGGAAAGCTAAAGAACACTCCAATCACAACTGCCCACTAATATAGTTATGATGTCAGTAATGCCCTGGCCTGATGTCATCTAATGTCAAGTAGTCAAATTGTGTTGTACAGTTTAACAACTTATCTGGGTCTCGCCTCAAGCTGGAGAATCCAGTTAGCTCTACAGAGCTAAATAGGTCCATGCAGAGCTGTGTTATTGGCTGAGAGTATCAGCCAGCCAATGAGAGCAGTTTAGGGTTGGACTTTGTTTGCTTTATTCTACAGAAACATCAAGCTTCTCATGCAGAAGACCAGATGCTGTGTTTTCAACCAGGAAATCCAGGTAAGTTGTTGAACTGAACTAAAACTGTTTGACTACTTACCGTGAGATGGTGCCAAGGCATTCCTGGCACCATAAACACTGAAGTGGGTTTCCAATTTACTACCAGAAATTTTCTCTATTTTTCCTAAATTCATATCTCTATACCAGCCATCTCATATCATAATGGGCAAAACTGTGGGTCTTGCTTTGTTTCAAGGAAATGACCACTAACTTGTTAAAGTGGGTGAAATGTTCCCTAAGCAGAATCAATAGTAATCATCCACTGCTCTATTTCTCTATTTATGTCTCATTTTTGAGGGCTCACTGCTACGGTCTTAGCATCAAGTTCAAACCTTTTTTCAGCTAACCTTCCTTACTCCAGTGCACAAACAAAGAAAGTCAGCCATTGTCTAGAGAGCTATGTATGTGTCTTTCATAACATGGAACAATTTAAGTTGTATTTCTACCCTTGTGTCATTTTTCAGAGAGTCAATGAATTAAGGAGCTACAGCAGCTGTAGTGGTTAAGATGCTTGGAGAGTTAGTTTGGCAAGATTTCTTTACTTTCTAATTTGCAAGGAATGTTCTACCAATGTCAACATTCTGTTTTAACTGGAGATAAAAAATAAAAAAACTCCTGATTGATTAATAATGCCCCTTAGTAAATCTTAAGAAAAAGTCTCCACCATTAATGTGAAGCTTATATGTTTAGAAGGGGATTATCATTTTAAAGATTGGCTTTCTATTTTGCAATCTTTGTCAGCTTGCCTGAGACTCAAATGTTGAATAATAAAAGACTAGCCATAATGTTTCCAAAATCATTCTCTTGTCTCTGGTGTCTTCCCAAATAAGTGGAATACTTTCACAGGTGTAGCTTTTATAGTAATGTTTAACTCTGCCTGCATACATTTATAAAATCATACATATATGCACACGAATGTGAGCATTGTGATTGGCTAAGATCATTACTTCTGATGATGTCAGTCAAGTAGGCAGTTCAGGGGCCGAGCCAGCACCAGCAGACTGGAAAAAAGGTAAGATTTTACTATATTTAGGAGGTAACGGAGGGAAGAGCAGGGGGGCTAGATAGTGAGTGTTTCTTTAATGTGAATAGCACGACACCCCACAAATGTACTGCATTGATATAATTGCAGTATCTATGGTACAACATATCAGTATAGCAAGGTGCGGATGGGAGATATGTCCTGCAATTTGTTGTCTGTAATGCTTAATTTAAATTGGGTTGATGATTTTAATCTGTTGGGTCACGTTAGACAGTTTGATATAATGAATTTTATAGTTTTGGTGATGATTAGCGACCACTTAGGGTTTGCCAGTTCAGGTAAATGAGGGTTTTAGGTTTTTTCAAAACTGAAATTTTTTTTACACTTTAATTATTATTTGGGCACAGACCATACTCTGCATTCCATCACTTGTTATATTTCATTTATTGTTTCACAATATATCCAGTAGTTTGTAATCATTTTATGTTACATAGCCCTGTAAAATAGACTGTTGCCTTTCATAAAATTGGAGCATTGTAATTTTGCCATAGACGGACACAAAGTAGCTATTGTACCTTTATAAAGCGGGGGAGAAAGTGGGTGACTTGATGGGAAAAGACTGTCTATTGTTGACCCTTTAACTGGTTCTGTACTAAAACTAATGGGTATACATACTTTAGTACAATGTTAGAGGTACCTGCAAGTAAAGTTTGGCTCATTTATATTTTAATAGATGATGTAAGTAATATATTAAAATAGTTAACTAAAAAAACTCACATTTAAATTCCCTCTATTTGCTCCTAAACTTTATCATAGGCAGCCTGTGGAATAAACATTTACTAAACCAGGAAGTCACTGCTGAGCTTAGCCCAAAAGCGGTTCTGTGTTTCTGGGAGTTGGTTTTTGATTGATAGCTTTCTTATGTAGAAATATAACAGCTAAACTGCAACTTGTACAAACCTAATTTGTGCCATTATATACAGCAGTATTTTTGGGTCAAAAAAGGGAAAATGTAGGGTGGAAAGGAATGACTGAGAAAGTATGGGCTTATGGGGCAAAAATAATTAATATTGGGGACGAAGTCTGACCGCCATGCGGAGTAGTCACATTAACCCGGAGCTCTGAGTATAAAATAGATATTTACCCATTTATCCTACCTTTGTGCTGGCTAAATGAGTTTCATACTCACCCTTCAACTCAGCAGGGCCAGACTGGAAACAGAAAGCAGCCCTGGAAAAAAAATAATTCCAGCCCTCTAATTCATTTTGTCACATAGTTTGCTTGTATTGTTTATATGTATGTGCTTTGGAAGAAATTTGTCTTACCTGCAGCCCCTCGCTCCAGATGATCCATGGGTGTTACAGTGCCGTAACATCCACCCTCCCGGCCGCCCCTGTCCGTTGTGATTGGCTCTGCTTGGGGACGATTCTTTAAGCAGGGAAATACTCAATGCAGATATCAGCATATCGGCATCAGTGTGTCAATTTTATATTTTCATCAAATATGTATGTTAAAAGGATGTTCCACATTAATAAATCACACTAGTTCAATGGCACACACACACACACACACTGACTACAGAAAGGCTCACTGACACACACAAGCTCACTACGGACAGGCTCACTGACACAAACAAGCTCACTACAGACAAGCTCACCGATACACACAAACGCTCTCTGACCCATGCGCTACAGACAAGCTTACTGCCGCACACAACTTCACTGAAAAACATTCACTCAAGCACACTACGGACAAACTCAGTGACCAACACAAGCTAACTACAGACAAGCTCACGACACACACAACCTCTCTGACCCACACAAGCTCGCTAATGAAAAACACAGAAGTGCTCTAACCCACACAAGCTCACAGATACACAGAAGCTCTCTGACCCACAAATACCAACACCATTACCACAATCATAACAGATGATGCTGATAGAATATCTGCAACCAATTCTAGCCAAATACTTGGTTAGCTGGATTCTACAACCAATACTCTACAACTAATACCCAGATTTTCTACAAAAACAACCTCCAGCAATGTATCTATGGAATGTAAATTTCTACAGTCTTTTAAAGACTGTTTGAGAATTTTGGGTTACTAATTTAAGGAAAAAATGCTCTACAATGCCCACATTTTAATGGAGAAGGTGTTATGGGAAATAACCTTTTACCTACTTTCAGTGCATAATATGTTTACGCCATTTTGTCCCAGATGAAATACAATAACAATAATGCATAAACAAGCTTCAAGGCTATGCTACGACTCTTTCAGTACTTTATATACTGCAGTAACACTAAATAGATAAAGATCTTATCTATTTAAGATTTAAGAGGCCTTGCAGTTCCTCTCCCCCTTTGGACCAGTGCGGGTTATACCAGTCCACCACAGTGATATTTCTCACCTGGCTCCAGATACAAGGGCCAGCAAGCTGATATTGAAATGCTACTTTACTTACCTAAGATGGCAGCTGCCTACACTGAGACAGCTCTAGTATGCCCAGGTCCGGTACAAGGACTTTTGCTGCCCTAGGCAAAAAAAAATTTGATCCACCCACTCATGCAGACTGACAAACACACACTGACCCCTGCAGACTGACGCACACACTGACCCATGCAGACTGAAACACACACACTGATGAATGCAGACTGACGGACACACACACATTGATGAATGCAGACTGACTCACGCACAAGCAGACTGACACATACCCATGCAGACTGACACACACACACAGTGATGAATGCAGACTGATGCACACACACACACATTGATGACTGCAGACTGACTCACGCACACAATAAACCATGCAGACACACACATACACACTGACTCATGCAGACACACATACTGGACACATACACTGACACACACTGATACATGCAGACATACACTTACCCATACAGACACACACTGACCCATACAGACACACTCTGAGTCATGCAGACACACACTGACCCATGCAGACACACACTAACCCATACAGACACACACACTGACCCAAACAGACTGACATACACAAACACAAATACTTTGAAACAGGGCCGCCATCAGGGGGTGACAACCATGATGGTTGTCATGGGCCAGGCAGTTGCACCGGGGCCCGCACGCTGATGGGGCCTATCGGGTGGCCCACGCACTTATGGCCACCCGATGATCCCTATATCTTCAGGGGCCCGGTCAGTGCTGTGGCCGCGTAATAGTACGACCGGGCTCCTTTAAAAAAAAAAAACGCACCCACAGCAAGTGCTGCTGGGAGGAAATGGTCACTTCTTCCCAGCTCACTCCGTGCGGGAGGAGCGCACGCCTGTGAAGAGGGAGCTGTGCCGACTCCCATCAGCCTCAGCCACCCTCCTGCAAAAAAAGGTAAGAAACAGGAGGGTGGCTGAAAAATGAGCTGTGTGTGTTTGTATGTCTGTATGTATGTCATTATGTATGTATATATGTATGTCATTATGAATGTATGTCTGTATGTATGTATGTCTGTATCTATGTATGCCAGTATCAATGTATGTCTGTATGTCATTATGTCTGTATGCATGTATGTCTGTCAGTATGTATGTATATATGTCTGTCTGTATGTATGTATGCCAGTAGCAATGTATGTCTGTAGGTCATTATGTATGTCTGTATGTCATTATGAACGTATGTCTGTGTGTATGTGTGTATGGATGTCAGTATGCATGTATGTCAGTATGAATGTATGTATGTCTGTATGCCATTATGAATGTATGTCTGTGTATGTATGTATGTGTCTGTGTATGGATGTCAGTGTTTGTATGCATGTATGCATGTATGTATGTATGTCTGTTAGTATGTCTGTATGTCTGTATGTCATTATGAATGTATGCATGTATGTCTGTATGTCATTATGTATGCCTGTATGTCAGTATGTCAGTATGAATGTGTGTCTGCATGTCATTATGAACGTATTTCTGTGTGTGTGTGTGTATGGATGTCAGTATGCATGTATGTCAGTATGTATGACTGTATGTATGTATGTCTGTCAGTATGTCTGTATAAATGCATGTATGTCAGTATGAATGTATGTATGTATGTATGTATGCCATTATGAATGTATGTCTGTGTATGTATGAATGTGTGTATGGATGTCAGTGTCTGTATGTCTGTATGAATGTATGTATGTATGTCTGTCAGTATGTCTGTATGTATGTATGTATATATATATATATATATATATATATGTATGCCAGTATGAATGTATATATATATATCTGTATGTCATTATGTATGTATGTGTGTGTGTATGTCGGTGTCTGTATGTATGTCAGTGTGTATGTATGTATGTATGTGTCTGTATGACCTCATGCATGTGTGTCTGTATGTATGTTAGTATGTGTCTGTCTGTTACTATGTATGCCTGTGTGTCTGTATATGTGTGTATGTCTCAGTATGTGTGTGTCAGTATGTATGCCTATATGCGTGTATGTCTGTTTCAGTATGTGTGTCTGTTAGTATGTATCTGTGTGTGTATCTGTGTCCTTTTGAATCAGTGTGTGTGTTTGTGTCTGTGTGTGTATTCCTGTGGGCGGGATTGGAGACAGGCCCCAGGGGGCCCAGACCCTGAGCTGAGTTAGAGGCCACAAAATTTCTGGTGGCGGCCCTGCTTTGAAACATAGATTGGGATGTCCCATTGACCCTCTTACCATTGCATATATGACTTTGCTTTTCATGCTAACTGGCAATTTCACTACACCTGGCTGGCTTCATTCTGTCTCCGCCCCACCCCTGCTATGCTCCCACCCACAAAGGGGTGGCAGTGAGAAATTGAATTGCCCTCACGCTGCTGCAGCAATAGGAGTCTTTGGTGGGGTCAGGCTGAGGTGGATGCTGCCAGGTCAGTGTTATACCGGGTGCTAGTCTAATCATCTAAGGGCTCAATAGCGCCCAATAACATGGCCGACAGCACGGTTTGTATAATTACTCCAACATAGAGGGACGGCTAAGCGAGCAGAGCAGTAAAGCTCCTGCAGGCCCTGAGTGTGCCATGCCGATCCACTACAGCCCTGTGATAGCCTGCTGGCCCGATTTGTTCAGCTATGTGTGGAGTTTTGACAGAGATTGCAGGAGAAGATGGAGGCTAGAGTCAGAATAGAGGCAACACCACAGGTGTCTACCTCTCATCGGCATAGCATTACCACGAAAGCTCTGAAGACGGACTTGATTAGGCCCATTTGGAAACAGAGCAGAAGGGTGAGACGTCCTACATGTTTAAGGGGAAGTGGCGTGAATCCAACCATCCTATAGAGCCACTGCAACAGTAGGATCAGGATACAATGACTGGTAGCTCTTTCTAGGGGTAGCTCTTTCTAGGGGTAGCTCTAAAGCCCCTTCAGTCACTTACCTGAATCCATCGCCGATGTCCCTCGGCACTGGGTTAGACTCCGCCCACGCTCCTTCCCTGCTGACATCACTGACAGGGGAGACCTAATGCACATGTGTGCCAATCACCATGCTCACATTAGGATTTCCCCATAGGAAAGAATCAATTCCCCTATGGGGATTCTGGTGAGTTCTAACGCATAGCATGAGGAGGTCCAGTGTCATTTAAACAACCAAAAGTCATCTAAGCACCTGGAAGTCCCTCAGAAACTGCAATAATTACCACTGGGGACATGGGACATTGCACCGAGACAACGCCAATGAGCTGAAGTGGTCCGGGTGCCCATACTGCCCTTTAAATTATGTCCTATTTTGATGCTATCTGAGTGCTTACGCCTTCCAGGTTTTGAAATTTTCTTTGTTTTCGAGTACCTACATTGGACCTCTAATCTTAATGTCAGCCTCACTGTTATATGCTCTGTGTTTAGCGAGCCTGTACAGACGACATTAATTTAGTTACTGTGGTTCTATACATTGATACTCTTGCATCTACCTGGATTTCACTACTTAATATCCAAGTATTCAGTTAAATACTAAGATTTGTTTAATTCTTGACTATTGTTATTTACATATGCCATCCTTACGTTATGCTATGTCTGATCTGACTGCACTTGTTTATGCTGTTGCGGCAATGCAGGCATCGTTGTACCTTTCTGCACAGCAAAAATAAAGAATTTAAAATATATATTATTATTATTATTAATAATAAACAAAATATGAAGTACAAAGAAGAAATTAAAAAAACTTTCATGTACATATTGCATCTAATTATGATTGAATGGCCCTTAAATGATACGTAGTGCGACAATTAAGTTAAAGGCTTCCTATTAATTTGTTTATATGCTCTTGTTAAAAGTTTTGTCTGTCCTTTCTTATATCAACCCAGCCTCTTAACTGTAATATAGAAATTATGTTGATGGAGATAAAGGATTAAGGATCTGTTTTTATTATCCATTGTGTTTTGGTTTCTTGGGAGGACACACGTTTAACCCCTAGTCCCCTTTAACAGAGAACCTATTCTGCTTTACCACACAACCCAGACATTTGCCAGATACAAAAGAGTATTACCAAAGATTTACTCAATGCAGCTAAAGCCCAAAATCCAGTCTATTGGAATCAGCAATGGCAGGCAAGAGGGGAAAATATATGAAATGGAGACTCTTATAGCAGAATATAAAGGCAATACTGAAATATGCTCTCAGATGTGGCTACGATGGCTAGAATATCCGTTACGGCAATGGAAAAATATCTTGACACATATATAGTTTCAACCACGTTTTAAGCTTTTAAAGCATTACAAAACATGTGTGACCTTAGACTGGTGGGGTATTTGCCTTTGTAGGTGACTCCTTTATTAACTTATTTGCACCACCCCTTCTAATATATATATATATATAATATACCCCTTTCCCAGACCGTCTTAACAGCATTATAGCCCCCGCCTATATCTTTGATATTTAAAGAGTTAAAGGATTCTGAGATTAGGGATGGATTATCTCAACTAAGTGAGGGTTTACCCTTCTTATTGAATAGAATTTCTTCTATTCTAAGCAGAATAAACCCTTATTCCAAAAGAATCCAGCCTTAGGTGTGAGATACATCTGGCATTACTATTTAAAGAGAAATACGTTTTCTGGGTTTTGGGTAACTATTAATGATTTTTTTACCTTGGCTCCAATGCAAATTAAGAAACATTTTTAAATTTGTATTCAGTGTAATGCACAGCCTGGCATTTAATGCAAATTCATATACTTACACATGTGGTATTTTACCATGGGAAGCAGGTAACTAGTAAGCATGGCCTCAAATGATAGCAGCACTGATGTACTTGACATGCAGCAGAGGTAAGTGTACTTCAAAACTACCTCTGCTGCATGGCTCAGCTCAGAAAATGCTCCAGTCTGGTGTATTGTGGTAAGGTCAAATGAAAGTCACTAACTTAAAGTTGACTGAAAACAGAATTAAAGATCAGCACTACGATGGCGGCCTAGGCATCGTCAAAACGTCTCTCGAGGTTTGCGGTTTTCTGCATCCTGTCTATGAAATAAGGGACATATAACACATCTACCATTATCTAATTCATGTCTCAGACCAGAGAAAACTTTTTTGGATCTGCCCAGTTCTTGTCACAGAATTGCAGATTCTTGATCGACAATTACTTTGATATGGTTTGATATAGTGTAGAGAGATTACCTTGGGTCACTAGTAAAAGTTGTGAGTGTTCCTTCATATTTATTTATAACATATGGCTTTGTATTAACTCTAATGCATTTTAATGTTTGTGTTTTGATAGGTGTCAGCCGAACTGTGCTAAAATATGGATACATTTGGCTCATCATATTGTTGGCAGGGGTAACCAGTGTTGTCCCTTCACTTATTGCCAGTTTTGTGACCAAGCACATTTGCCCTAACCAAGTGAACCATGTAAGTGTGAAGAACATACTGTATATATCATTCCAAGTTGATACATTTTGAGGAAAGCGGATAGTAGGTAAAGGTACTCTCCATACTTGTAGTTGATAGTAGAGATAGTATCTCTCCATACTTGTAATTAAGTAACCCTTTTATTTGAGTAAGAAGCTTTTTTTCAAGTGCTTTGCCGAAACCAGTGCTCAATCTGGACCCCACGGCCACTTGATCATTAGTTGAACTGATAACACAGAATCTATACATTCGTATTGTCAAGTGCAAAGGAGTACAACCTGACAAAGATAGGCTGAGGAATTTGGGCCAACTCTCCCCTTGCCCCCCTTCCCGCACTCACAGCCTATCATTGCTTTCCAAGTGCACTTGATAATCCAAAAATGGTTATGCCTTATTGGTATGGCTGCAGAGGATAAACTATGAGTGCCAGGGACAGCCCTGTTGTTTGGTCAAAATTCTTCAACACGGTTTGACAAATATGGTGGTACCCATTAACTTAAAGCATTGTAGCAACTGCAATAAGCTGGGGTGTTTAAAGTGCTAAGAGCGCCCATTTAATCTTGCAGGTAATCCTTTAACACAGTTTGTGCATTATTCTACTATTTTTAAATATGTTTAAAACGTGTTTCCATAAAAGTCATATACAATTTATCTATCTCTAAAATGCTTAAAGGAACACTCCAAGTACCTAGAGCACTTTAGTTTGCTGAAGTACTTTGTGTGAATAGTGCGTCCTTTTTTTTTTTCAAAAAGAAAAAAAAGATTTCAATGGACATTTGTACTTTTATAAATTAATCTTGAACTCAAGAGGCAGCAATTGTCGAGGGCCACCTGCCTCGCAAAGACTTCTCAGTGAATTTTATTGGGAATTCTGCGATTGGACAGCTACAGAAGCTATGTGCTCGGGAAAGGGGGAGGGCTTGCCAATGCTGCATACAGCAGATCTGCAGCTTTTGCAAGCTGCTTTTAGAATTACTACCAATGAAAAAAATGCAGCAGTAAATGCATGCATGTTTTCGTTGGCTGTTATACCTACTAAATTGTTTTTTGTTTTGTTTTTTAAAAAACAATTCCATTAGAGTGTTTCTTTAAATTTTGTCTCCAGGACATAACACCATTCTTTTCCTTCTGCAGCGGGATTTCTACAAAGCTCGGCAAAAAAGTGAAGTAAATACTGTCGCAATGACAACACCTTTTAATCGTGGAAGTTTGCGCCGCAGGTCAAGCTATGCTTTTTCACACAAAGAAGGTTATGCTGACCTTATTACAACAGGGACAAGTCTGCGAAGGACTAAAGCGAGGGAGTCTGTTGCATCAGCATTAAGCACCACAAAAACAGAGCTTCCCAACTCTTTGGATTATAACTAATATTATATACATCCATTAAATAGAACTACTTTGTACCAATGGCCTATTGTTATACTCTGACTCAAAAATGTATACAGAGTCTTAAAATTGTGAAGATACAAGTACTCTTTTGAAAAGTCGACCTTTAAAATAATTAATATCAAATTGCTTGTTAATATCAAATTGCTAATTATCTTCAAACCACTGTCTTCAAATGTACATGGTATAGGTGTGAAGGGAAAATGGGCTTGAGATAGTACTCATACAAACAAAAAGGCATCCAACAGAATTTTAGTGATTAAAAAATAATTTATTGAACATAAATTGCAAAAACATACAACACACTGAAAAAGAGATGAACACGTAAGATGCATTTATTTATCAAAAATGCAACAGTGAGAGTCAGTCTGGAGCATGATGCAGTCCTTAGACATTGCCCCCTACAGGAAGGTCATGGAACCTCACACTAGACAAAGAACACAGTATGGTTTGGGTTAAAGTGCCAAATACGGAGGACATTTCTACTATAAATAGCTCAAACAATATAATTATAACACACAGAAACAAAGCTTTAGGCAATATTTGTTTTTGCAGAAGGGAATGCATGGGGTTTGCGATTGTCACCCAAAAAAAATAAAAATTCTAATTTTGTCATTATTGGTTAGTAACGCACATCAGTTAATCAATTAAAACGCTTTAGTTGTTCAGTGGAGGTGTAGTTGAAGATGGCAAAGAATATGCAGAATATTTTAGTGGAGAGACATCTCTTTCTACATAGGCCTCAATTAAGATTTTGAAATGATTTGATCTTTTGGGATAAACTTTTCAAATTAATTATCTACAAAAATCCCTATAGACTTAAATGGTGACTTCTGTAGTTAAATCATTTGAAAGGTTTATCCAAAAGTATTAAATCATTTGGAAATCTTATTCAAAAATCTTAAATCAAGGACATAGTCCTTTCTGTTTTTCTGCAGACTTTTAGTTTCAAACTGAGAAAAATATTCAACAGAAGAACATGGAAGCGAAGATACAGTAAATCAATCATTAATTTTATCTCTAACGTTCAATACACTACGTATACACTAGTACAAAGTACTAGATGGTAGTTCTACAATTAAAGTTGCTTATGAATTTCAGAGATTTTTGTCTACTGTAATAATTACTGTGACAACAGTTATTAAATTGCTTTAGCTTTAGAGAACTGTTATTTTTATATTATGTAATATAAAATTTTGCATGTTTTAAGTCTCTGTGTGTATTATTTAGCAAAGCATACATATACGTAAATACCTACTTTCAGTGCATCTCTTGGCCTACACATATTGGATGGGTGCACTTAAAAACCTCTTTGGTCAGAAACGCAGCTTATTTGACCAAAAACCTCGACGATAATAAGATAATCAAGAGCTAGTGTGTGTTCACAAATCCCTGAAATCCCGAACAAGCACAGGGTATCTCAAAAATGCAATTGACAGATAAATGGCCTTTTTAATCAAATAACGCTAAACATTGCTATTCAAGAGCATGGGTAAGCCAGGAGATGCTCTAAAAGGTATACACATATCATATATATATCATGTGATAATGCCCACAAAGGTTATATTACATGCAATATTTTGTTTCCATTAAAATCATGACCGTTTTCCTCTAACCAAATTCTGTAGATCCCCATACCACACCACAGGTATGATTAGAATAAAGTTAGCTCGCAAGGTTACATGTCACGCAGGAACGGAGAAATAAAAAATACAAAACAAATGTTACAAGGAAGCCTCATTGATGGGTGTCTTAAATGAGACGCGTATTGTGGTACCTGAAGTGCTTACAATATGCTATAAATTGGAGGATTCTGATTGCATGAAATACATTTAGATTTTAATTCTCAACCTATGGCCCACTAGCCATTCTATACCTTAATAAAATGTCTTTATAATTGGGGTTACCACTTATACATATTGATGGGCGGTACATGAAAAGGGTTGCCATCTAGTATATAAAAATCAAGAGAAGGTGTATAAGATTAAATAATTAGGTAACGAATAATCTTTCAGAATATGCGTCATACATACTGCAGGGCAGCCCTTTTCATGCGTGTTCAAAAGTATTACAAAATTATGTGTGACCCTGAAAACATGGTGGATATGGTAAGCCCATTCATAATACAGATTATATTAGTCTCCTCTTTCTCGGTATCCCATGATATGTTGCTGTTATCCTTCTTGTTAACCCCTCATGGACACATGACGGAAATATTCCGTCATTATTCCCTTTTATTTATGAAGTTGTGTCCTTAAGGGGTTAAAAGATAGATAAGTAAAAAAAACTCAAATTCCACAACCTGAATACTTTCTCAAACCATGTAGAATCTGGCCTATCTTTCATTTCTCAAATATTTAACATACAGAGAAAATTTAAATAAACAGGTTTTTCATTATCCAAAATAAACTAGAATTAGCTTGGGGGCATTGCATCTCAACGTTAAAAATGGTGTTGCTTATAGACTATCTAAACCTTTTGTGACAATATCGCTTCAGTGGTAATGGTCAATCACCATACAAAGACAAAAAAATAAACACAAAGTCTTAATAAATTGATGATGTCAATAGTAAAAGCATGCATATCGAGGCATGACAAAACTTTGGCTCTCTGGGCATACGAAAATTAGAGATGGAAAAGCATTATCTGTTTTGTATATTGCTTGGTGAGTTAATAACAATTTTGTCTTGCATATGGCCTCAGTCAATATTGTTCAATGTTTTTTTTTTTGGCATTGATGTCTAAGATAACGGCTTATACTTGTTTTCTCCTTGGTTGGACATTACAGATTTCACAAGATACCATGTGAGCTTGTGCGTACACATGCTACGAATAAAGTTGCCACACAAACTCTTTACTGAAAGACTCTTGTTAAAGTATGTACCTCAGAGGTGACACTTTTACCCAGTGTATGCATTTTTTTAATAAGTTGCCTCATTAAACCCTAGCTAAGGGTTGAATATATTAAACATATTTTTGGATATCCTTCATTTCACTAGCAGCAGGAATCTGCTATTGTGTTGTTTTGTTGTTATTTTTTCCTTTTACTTGACCAGTAGAGAATTTCGACTCTGCTAGTACGCCACTGCTTTATACATCTATAAATGGCATGATTTCTGTGAAAACTCCTGTTATATTTGGAGTTTAGAACACAGAAGTTTGTGCACCGGGCAGCTGTGGAGATATCGCTAAACTGTATTTCTTGCGATGCAGAGAGGCCCAAGTGGTTTCCAAGCATTAAAGAATTGCTGCTTAGCAAGTACGGATGGGTGTCTCTTTTGACCGTGAGTTATGGCTATAATTTACTTTAAGTATCTTTTATGGATGCGATAACTACTTTGGTTCTGGTAAATATGTGAGAACGTATATGTAAAGATTATTAAATATTTGCTACAACTTCCAAATGTGTAACAAAGGCTGTAAGTAGTATACTAAACTCCCAACACAAAAATGGAGGGCCGTTTGTTAGGGAAATATATATTTAATATTTTCATTTGCACTTTAATTAAATTGACTTTAATTAAATTGACTTTATTAGAACTGTAATTTTTGATACTTCAATTCTACATTTCTTTTTCAACAACAGACTTTGGCTTTGTAAGCAATGGTTAGTTAATTGTTACATTTGAGATAGATATATCCATTGCATAATTGAAATTACATATCTTGTAAATAAATTTGTCTATCTTGACTATCTTCGAGGCTGGTTTATTTCAAGGGACTGAATAACCATTCGTGACAGAAGCCTTCAGACCTACAAAAAAAGCTTGTTAAGCCTTGTAACCATTACAGCACTTTATACCTCCGCTAATTCTAATATGCGGCCTATTTGTATAGTGTGATTCCTGAATATTCCCTACAGACTGAAATAAATTACTAAATTAATAAATTAAAATAAACTAAAGATACACGTATTAAAAAACAAAATAGCATCGTATTAAAAAACAAAATGGCGTCAGGATACCAATATGTATTTATAAATTCATTGGTAAATTATTAGTTTCAGCTGATCATCTGGGAAAACGGTGGACCCATTGGAGCTTGGAAGAAATTTAAAACATTATTTTTGGCTGCTTCTGTTCTCAATTATTAAATCAGTCTTCAGGAACTCCCAGAAGTGTAAGAATTGCTTAAAGGAGAGCAGGGATTGTCAGTACTTAGAAATCTTTGGTTTAGAACAGGGAGCCCTGAAGTCATTTTTACTAACTGAGTAACATGTTTATCTGATAAAGAACCTAATAGATATAATGTGTGTGGTTTCTCATTAACCTGGGTATTTAGACTATTTAGACATTATTCTGCTCCAAAAAATGGAAACGTTTGCCTCTAATCTTTCTTACCAACATCTCATATTTTTCATACATTCTCTCTATTAAAGATGGATAGATATATATGTTTTAGGTTTCATTTTTGTTTTTTTTGCAACCACTCTTAAATGTCACTTACAATCACCCGAGAGAGAGGTCATATTGAAACCACCATTGGGTATTGATGTAATTTGGAGTTAGGGTCTTAATGAGCAACTTCGATGTATGGGTCACAAAATTGTACAGGTCCTTGTAAGTGAACTTGTAAAGATCATGAATCACCATCCTATTAGTAGAAGGACCTTTATACGTTGTCATTGATCGTGTTGTATAACAGTGTCTTAAAAATAGCGACATATCCTCTAAAGTATAAGGATACTTGGAAACTGATTGTCTACATTTTAACTCTCCCTTTAGACAGATACTTGTGAGACTGTTGCTGTATTACCTACTACTTTAGTGAGAGACCTTTCTATGGAAAGTGTCACTAGCATTAGCGATCCTCTTTGGCCATAGATTTCTTTCAGATGTCATTTTTTTAGGCTTACAAGAGAGAAACAAGATGTTTTACATTGTCCTAAACAGCAAATTAACATTGTCCTGTGGAAACATAGCATTCTAACAAAGCTAATGTACATGATGTATCTAGACATCAAAACCTTAATCAAATCTGGGTAACAGGCACAACCCTATATGTTTACTCCACCAAGTTCCACAGTATTGATAACATTTCCATTAGACGTAATTGCACACTGGATTAGATAGTCAGACATGAGAACATATTTAAATTTGCTTGCTTCCAAAATAAACAGATTAGTGGTTGATGTCTTCTTTGACACAATGTTCTTAGCCCTATATCACTGGGCAACAAGAACTTAATGATACAAAAATCTCACGACTGGTTTGTGATAAAATAATATTGTAGACAAAGTACATATTTTTTTTCCTACTTGGAAAACAATCTGAAACATTAACACATCTATATTAAAGTGCTACCATAACAGAAATATTTAAAGTTGCATTTCCCGAGTTTCAACAATCGCATGGACGCCTATCAAGAAAGGGCCTTGAATATCCTGTAAGAGCAGATAATTCCATCCTCCTGTATCCTGAATAACAGCATATGCAAATTTAAAGATCAAAGCATAGACACGTTAATATAGATCGCTATTTCATTCAGATAAAAACAGATCTGTACGTATCTCTATTATGTCCCTTTAATTGTGACTTACCCAGATTTTTCTATTCAATGTAGGCAGTTAAATGTTGGCTGTCATAGTTTGTGCTCAAGTTGAATGCTAATTTATTTATTTTTCATATTTTTTTTAAAGTATTTTTTCCTACCTATTAGCAGTGCAACATTTCAACTGATGAAATGTAATAACAGTGTGTATTTTAAACATAAATTAGATGAGAACCATATCCCATGCACGTCCTCTGCTTCTACAGAAATATCTCTGGTACTAACCCACCCTCAGATCAGGGAAAAAAATATTACAGTACTTTAAGAAAACAGTACATTTTTTTCCATGCATTAAAATTATAACTTAATTTTTCTTTCACCTCCACCCGTTTTAAATTACATTTTAAACACGTAACACATATTTATAAATACTGTCATATTAGATGTGACAGGTTAGAAATAAAATAATGATGAGCAAAACAAAATACATTAGGACCTTTTGCACTACAGAAGGGTTTGTTAATATAATTTCCTGCATAAGTGCACAGGTCAGAAGGACGTTGATGTTTAAATATGTCAACTCCATGGGCCCCCCTCAATGTCTTTCATTTATGTATATCCTTAAACATTCAATATGTCTCCCATTTGAAGCATTAAAAACAAAAGGTCATGCCACACACCTCTGCAAAAAAAAATTATAATTTAACAGTAAAAAGCTTCAAGTCACAAATTCCAAAAACTAGCTAAGTATTTTCACATAAACTATACATTAAATATTTTGAGGTATTTTAGAGAAAATTGTCAAAGGCTTGAGAGGTCTGTGCTGAACGAGAAGGTTGTCTTGTTTTATCTCTGCATACTGCAGAATTTCTTTGGTACTTGTGAATGTTATCGGGTATAAAATGGTGGATATCATTCTGAAATTGATTGGTGCAAACATGGAGAATGTATAAAATGTGTACTTCTGTTAGTCTCTATAACAAAATGGCTGCCCTTATGCAAGAAAATGTCTGTTCTGAAGCTGAATACTTTTACATTAAAAATATTTTTTTTTTGCATCCATGTCATGTAGGTATGATCCACTACACTGCTATGTTTTTTTTTAGTATTTTTAATGTTTAATATAAGGTAAAGATGGGCATGACAACACCATAAAAAATAATAATTACAAGTAGCACACTTCTAATGCAGACGTCTCCAGGAAAAAAAAAATCTAATTTAATTTTTATGCACATTCATTTGTGATGTCACCCGTATCCTGAGCCTCATCCATGAAAAGTTTTTTTTTTTTTAAATCTATCCAACCTTGTCTCTTTGTTGATAAGCGACTGCATTAGAAGAGACTAAGACTGTCTAAAAGAAAAAAAAAGCTATTAAAAAGGCAATTGCCTTCTAATAAGTATTCCGAAAACCTAAAACCAGGATATAATCATCTAACATGCGATGATTACACTTTACATATTTGTTGTGGAGTTTCATGCACCAATGAAATGTTTGGTTGTGTTATAGTTATGTTATGTATGTTTATGTGTTATATTTTGATTTATAAAGCAAGACTAATTAGCTTATGTTTTATGCGTTCTATATTATTCGTTCTAAACTTTGGCCTTCTTAAAGAGGATGCAGCTTGCATAAAGAACTAAATATAGGTATGTTTTGAAAAGTTCACCATAAAATGTTGTACTAGTGACAGACATGAAAAATGTCCCTAAAATTGTGCTGTACTCACAAGCCTTGACATGACATTAAAACCCCTTAAGGACACATGACGGAAATATACTGTCATGATCACCTTTTATTTCTGAAGCTGTGTCCTTAAGGGGTTGATCCACATTGTAATAACAACTTCATAACTCTCTGAAAAGCTGTGTGAGAGTTTACGTTTTCATATTAAACTGTTTAAGCAAAAAATGGACAGCCAAAAAATGAATATGGGGCACGAAGGGTTCAGAAAAGTGCACTTCAGCACAGACCAGGCAAGTGGGAACAAATCTTTGGTATCATATGTGATTATTTTTTTTCAATCACAAATTGAAAACTGAAGTGAGGTAGCCTTTTCCATGAGGTTCTCACTATAAATGTCTTGTAAGTCTGTTCGTTTTGGTTTCACACCTGGAGCATCACAGAAGCAAAACATTGTTGGCTTGCTCCAGGCAGTTTTTTTTGTGTGGTTGAGGAATCTACCTCTGTTACATATTTGTATCACTGTAAAACAATGTAATTTTCAGACAGTGAGGATATAGTTAAAAGGAAAAAAAAATCTGTTTTTTTTTTTTTTTCATCTTTTTGTCTTGGCAAAAACACAAGCAAGATTCTTATATTTGTATCGTTTTAGGTAAGATCTCTGCTTGTCATTCTTTCTTCAATCTTTTCTTAGGAATGAGTCCATAACCCCCACAACAATACCAAAAACATGGTAAAGAAGAAAAATGTCCTATTTATGGAAGGATATTTTTTTCTCATTTATGCTTTTTTCTACGTACATTTATATTTTCAACAAGGTGCCTACTCATTGAGCATAGAATACACCTTAACTAAAGAGAATCCGTTTTTGTTTTTTTTTGTTTTTTAAAACACACAATTGACATGGTGTTAGTTTTATATATATATATTACCCGCATCATTTAATAAAGTTCGCTCATGTCTTGTTTCATGACCCCTTCCACACATCACAGCAGAAGAGACGTTCAAAGCTTCTAACGTCTGCAACCAAGATGGGCAGTAGGTTGAGGGATGATTGAAGAAAATAATAATTAAAAAAAAAAGATGTTTGGAAACATTGTCCTATTCAAGACTGGAAAGTTTACTAAAGCTTACCAAATCTTGGGCCTATACTAATTCTTAATTTTACTTTGTAACACTTCACCTTAAGGAGACCAAGGAAATTAAGTGTATCTTTGGTAGGGTACCATCTCCTTTGGGTTGCTTTAAGGCAGTTGTTATTGGCACAAAATTTTTCAATTTACCATCATCTTGCACTGAAATCCACCAGTCTTTTTTCATTCTTTTGCATGAAGTCTGTTCATCTTGTTTAATGATATTAATTGTCTTGGTTTTGTAAATGAGAACAAATAAAAAACCCAATGCTTTCTGTATATATCATTGATCCCAAATTTGGTGTGTATATTTGGTTGGTTTTGATGTTTTTGGTTTTGTTTTGTTTTGTTATTTTGCCGTTATCACTATGACCATTATGTCAAGGCCATTTTGGGGGAGGATAACCGTAATAGTCCAAACTTGAGATTGCAGTAGATAACAGGAGCCTTGGTTTTCCCTCGTAAAATGTGCTTATGTAATTTCTCATTTGTGTTGAACAAACAGAATTTCCTTGAGCGGTACTCTACTGCACATATATACCTATATACGCATGAGCATGTATCATTTAAAAAACTGGTGTATGGGCAATTGGAACAGTTGTACACATTCTGTTACCCGTGAGTTATTGGACTGTATTAACCAATTAGTGATGATGTATTGTGTGTTCACTGAATGCCTAAAATAGTATTATCATCGTGATTATAGATTAAGACGTTTTGTTTTGAAACTGAAATTGCAAAATGATACAACACCGAAGCCCAAACCATGAAATTCGGCCTTCTTTGGTTGACCAAGAAACAGGAGAAATAGTTGATCTAACTCAAGATTGGGTTCCACTGCAGGTATTCAAGCACCTGCTTAAAACTGCCCTATTCTGTAGTTTGTTTCTCTTTAATGTGTGTTTTCGATTTGTTTTTATGGTCATTGTTTTTTGTTTGCTATAATGGTTGTTACTGGGGATTTCTTCAAGGATGTAAGGAGTTGGAAACATGTCATGCTTTGGAGAAAGTGCTTGTAGATGCTGAAGGTATTCCTGGATTTACTCCTGGCTCTTCTTGCCATCGGTTCATACACCGCCGCCGTGCATTCATGAAGAAGTTGCTGACTGTGTTAAGCTCCAGGCCGAGTTGTTGAGAGATAGTTATTTGCATTTCCTTGGAAGGACGCTTGTTTTCCTTAAAAATGGCAATCAGGGTGCGTCGTTGAAGGTCTGTGAAGACCAGCCTTTGCTTCTTTGGCTGAAGGTTGCGGTCCTTTTGCTGTTCTTGTTCTTTGCGTTTACAAGCTGAAGAACAAAAAGAAAATTATATTCAGCAAAAATAATGAGAAACATAACATAAATATTTATCCCTCTATCACTGAAAATATTTTACAATATTGAAAGGAACTGTCATCTGAAATGTCTTACCGGTATATAAAATCACTTTAAAATGGTATTCCCAGTTTTAAAAAAGTCATTTTTAGATTCATATTTTTTGCCACCTAACCAAGCTAGAAAGTTAGAGTATTTAGAGCTATAATTACTAAATAAGACTATAAATTTTTTTGTGTGGATGTTTCTACCTTGGTATTTTATTATGGATTTCAGAACTCCAAGTTATTCTAAAAAAAAAGGCTGGAATGAGCATTAGATGTAAGCAGACTTTTATTTGTATAATTAAGGTTATTAGCTCCCTCTGTTCCTCAGTGGAGGGAAGAGAAAATATTGTGATGATTTCCTGGTCATGTGAAATGCCCGGGAGTGCCCAGTGTTACTCAATGGACACACAAGTTAGGAAGGGAACCTTGTTAAAAAAAAATCACCACTCAATGAAATAGTTTGTGCAGTTTGTGGTCCTGTAGGTTTATCCCATTGCAGGGTTAAACAAACCTCTACTGGCTGTCTTCCTGACAACCACTAGGGAGGTTTACTCTGCAATGACCGATTCTCACTGGGTCATGTGATGTTCGACATCCAGGAAGACATTAAGCTTCATCAAAGGCAGCTCGTAGCATTTGATTGGATGTGCATGCGGCACACACCACAAACGTGCACCTCATCACCCAGGCTCCTCTATGAGGAGCATTGCATTGGACATTTATCTAGGAACCAACACTTTCACAATGACATTGGCGGTGGAAGAGCGGATGGAAACACCTAGTGAGTCTTTTTTTAAATGGTGGTTCTGAATGTAAACACGCACTAGAACATTATAGCATTAGAAATACATATTCTTAACGCTACAGTGTTCTTCTAATACAGAAGAGACATTTGTCCTTTCTCTGACACCGTAAACCTGTATTGTCATTGCAGTAAAGTTTTGTCAGATGTTTTTGTTTTCTAAAATAAATGCATTCATTAACATATACATGACTAAATACATGGTAAAATGTATTCACAGAATACAATCCCAGTTCACTAATAAACCCAGATTCACATTCACAACATGACTAAACAATATCCCTCCTTTGAGAGGATACACCCACTGTGAGATGCAAGCCCTTATATCCCTATTAGTAACTAGGGTGAGAAAATGGTCCAGTCCAGTAGGAACATTGTATATTGCATATATTAAAAGCATGCATATTAGTAAAAACGTATAGTTCTAGTGTTATTTCCTGCTGTTTTAGATTCAGGGCCCCATTTAAAAGTTAAAATAAAGCCGTTTTATTTACCATTCATCACTCGCTGCGCTGGTTTTGCTGTCACTCCACTTCAATCTGAGATCATCATAACTGTTGATCTCAGTCAATCCAGTTCTCTCCGAGAAGCATTGGGGGAACCGACTGCTTATATGCGTCAATCAGCATCTCCTCATAGAGATATATTGAACAAATGCTTCTCTATGAGACAGTGAGGATGCTAAATGTCTGTCCTGCAAAGAATGCAAGACAGTAATAGGAAGCACCTCTGGTGGCTGTATAGTGACAGTCACTAGAGGCGTTCTTACGGACAAATGTAAACATTGTCTTTTTTGTTGCACAGAGGGTCTGCCTACTTGGACCCATAAATGGCCTATTTGGGCAATGGATGCATAGCCGTATGAATGATAAATAGATATATACACAATTTTTTAAGGTGCTTAGTTATATATTTTAGTAATTATCCCCTCACTCTCCCTCTAAATGAAGTGTCTTCCCACGGTTTCTCCGTGTTTCAAATCCTTGCTTCAGCTTCCCAATAAAGTCTCCCCGACACTCTACCTGAGCACAATTTCATGCTATTTGCGTAAACATTTTTGTAATAAATCACCTTTATTTATTTTAAAAAATAATAATTCCGAGTAGACTCCGCTCAGCCATACTAATTTTTCTTTAATGATTGTATTACTTTTTAATGCAGCTTTTTTTTTTTTTCTAAACCTATCCTCTAAAGAATCAGATTGCTTTTTCAACTCTGAATCTCTGAATTGGAAATGAATGCGCCCTTCTCATTCCCCATTTGTGGCATGTACAGACAAAAGAGCGTGTTTACATGAAATTATTAATTTTATTACTGTTCCCTAGCATGCAGTGTGCTCCACCTGTAATTATCAGCTCACACGGCCCCACGCATAAAAAAAAAGGTTTCAGTTTTTTTTAATGGAGTGGTAAACGATAGCCAAATTCAATGTTTCTAAAACAAAAAAGAAATAGATTTAATTTGTTAAAGGGGAAAAAAACCTTTTCGATGATCAGTCATTGTTTCTGGTTTTTGCTGACACTGCACCACCCACTTTTTCGTTCATCCGTCTTATTACAGCTCCATGCTAAGAAAATCAATCAGAACTTCAGCCAGATATACTTACAGCTGAATCTGGAATATAGAGCGTGTTTGAATACATCTGCCACTAAACACAGGCCATGTGGCACCAAAAGAAAGTCTTGATTCATATGTATATGGCTTGTGACCGAAAATACCTATTTATTTATACTTACTCCTACATAAAACAGGTTAATTGAAAACTATCAAGAAATAATTTAGAGTTAATAGTTTTACTACTTACAGATAGTTATATTAAAATAGTGTAGCATAGTTTTTAGATTCGCATAGACATTACGTTTTTACAGCTACCTTCGACAATTAATCTGTTATTACTTCAATTTGTTTCTAAAGTAGAATGTAGAACCTAGATTCTATAATCCAGATTCTACGCTGTACTCAATACACCACCGTCACAGTCTGATTCACCTTTTTCACAGATGATTCTATTACATCCAGAAACCCCATTCACAAAGGTCATTATTACAAAAAGTACTTATTGGGGAAGGTTACCAAGGCAAAAACAGGTGCTATTCTGGGGCAAAGGGTTGAATAAGATGCAATCGCTATAAAAACCAAAAGAGCATTTAGCCTTGATAAACCACCCACGTTATAAGATATAATATAAATTTAAAAAATAGCAGACAAGCCAAACAGCAAGCAATAAACTATTTCATAACTACATGAATATAGTACTGTCGAAATTTCTGTGGATTTTGGTAGAATCGTGCCTCTTTATTTAAATCTGTTATGATAAAGCCATACATCGTCATGGTAAAACCATAAATCTTTCTATTGAAAACCAGATATAATGATTGCTTTTTTAGAATTCCGCCAACGCCTGGCTGATATTTTATTGTGACGTGTTCTTCGTAGGTAGAGAGTGCCATAGAAATATAGATACGTAAGGAAAGCATGTTACCTTAATGGAAGTAGATTTAGAGTGCAAGCTTTAAAGACCACTCAGGTCTCCTATTTGGCCATGCCAGTCTTATAGCATATATTCTTCTCACACCTTATTTCTTTCCGCACATTTTTAGTCAACACAAGTGTTATCTGTACTATTTAAATTTTGGGCTAAAGTAAAGTAAATAAGATGAAACAATTGTCAAAAAAAGATTTTTTTCTGTAAAAGTAAAAAAAAGATTACAGTTTCTAGGGAGTGTGCAATTCTGTCCTGTGGCAACTGGGAAACGATTCACTTACTGTATTAATATATTAACCTTCAGCCTGTTGTTTCATTTCTTTTTATTTATTTATTCATTTCCGTTGCAGCATCGGTTAGTGGGTATCCACAAAAAGTAGACAGTTTGCTTACATGTTTGTTTTAATTATGTGCGTTTGTGCACAATTGATTATTAGACCCAAAGTTGTGATGGTTATGTAAGATTAACTCTGCCTTTTTTTTTTTTCATGAACAATTCATTCTCTAGACAGTGCAACCACACATGAGTCAGAGACAAAAGTATTTTAAATAATACTAAACAGATTGTCATGAAAAGAGAGTCTATATTAATCCCCCACTGACCATATTATGGTAAATGTTAGATTGCTGTTATTGATTTCAACCCTGAAATATACATCACTCGTAATTACATAGCACAATCGTCTACGACAGTCACTTGTCATTTCAGCTAACACGCCTGGGTTAACACATTTTCTTTCAAACTTTATGAAGACATACTCTTGTTATCCTTTCTTTCTAAACAATCACCAGCAATAGCTGGATATTACACTGCTATGACTGTTAACCAGAAGACCATGACGTCTATACAATGGAGAGTGGATTTTGTTCATAATGGCCCTTAGTGTGTGAGACAAGTGGTTGACCTCTCCATCCTCTTTAACAAAAAGACCCTTTTTTTGTCATTGACCATTCCACAATCTTGTGTTTATTCAAGAACCCTTGACAATGTAAGTCAACGAGTTTTTCCAACAGAGCGTTTCATCCCAGTAATAGGTAGATAATAGTGGGACAGCTCCCTTGGAAAATGGTACCACCTATGGAGAGATCTATGGACCATTTAAGGATGACCTGATGGCTTATATTGCCTTCTCTGTTTGCTCCTCTGTGTTATTATTATATTCAGAAAC